TGGTCAAGTCCATATATGTAGTTGTTCTCATTGCTTTATCCCAGGCTATAGCAAGGCTTACCCCCCTTCCCTTTGTTTTTTTTTTTATTTTTATTTTTCTTTATTCTTGTATTCCCCCCCTTCTATCTTTCTTGACTCCGTATGGACAAACGCCAGCCTCGAGTCATCGCGCGCCGCAGCATCAGCCCTTCGGGATACGGCTGACTCCAGTATCTGGATTGGCTCACGCCTTCGCCCGTCAGAAAGTTTACCGTTGGGAGGAGTCAGAGACTCGACTGCGGTGGATAACATACTACGCTTTCGGGGTTTGCAGCTACACACTACTTCTGGCTGTGGCCATATCCGTCGACATCAGTGGATGCGACTTGGTAACCCACAACATTGAGTTGTACTACCTTTCGGTCATTGGACGTCGACTCCCACAGAAAGTGTATTCCAGTGCGTAGCGAGCCTTCGGCGCCCCAGGCGGCCCATGACTTCTACAATGGTGTGCTGCCTTCCTGTTCCTCCGTCTATCTAGAAGTCGCCCGGTGGGACCATGACGTTTGCGGGCAGGCCTTCAGCAGCAAAGACGTGGCTTGTGGTTCTGGAAATGTGTCAGACAGCCCTCTGCAGTGCCAGGTCGCCTGTCGGTGGACGGGGCCTTTTGAGGTTCCGATAGAAACCGCTTTGATAGTTCCTCTGTCGATTCATGATTTGCACCCTCGCTTGCTCTCTCCTCCAGCTCTCTGGCGGCTCCCCGGCGTTTCGATCTCCTGCCACGGGATTTGCTTTGTATCGGTATATATCGTCACTCACCTGGGGCGGGGGGTCTCCTCAGGATCTTGTTTTTGTGATAATTATTACTCTAATAATAATTATTATTATTACGACGATTCGGCATGCGTTCCTGTGCTCCGAGGACCATCCCTTCGTGCAAACGATTAAGTAACATAATCGAGGTCGGAATTCTATACCACTGGGGGAGGGACTTGGCGTGCAGCGCCGTTCGCATATTCGCAGCTGGCACATGCCCACTATTGGCCGCTATGCTTATCGCGATTCTGCAAGCCACCTTTGCCAACCTAAAACGCAGGCATCTGACATGAGCTTCTCTTCTGCTACACGAGTCTGACCACGGGTGAAGGAAAAAAGCCTTTGCCTCCCGGGTGATTGGGTCATGGGCGCCCTGAACCAGCTCGGATTTCAATCCAGGGTTCACAGCGCATAGCCGCAATGCTTCAGGTTAATTATAGCGCGGAATACGATGCATGCTGTGGCAGCTGAGGTGGTCGTTCGGTCGGTTACCGCAGCCATCGACCTCTCTCCAGTTCAGTTCGTTCGCCCACGGGGGAAGTTGCTGAACACTTTCAGATCCCACTCAGCCTTAACTCGCACACGGCCCATGTAGCGTCGGCCGAAAAACAAACCGGAAACACCAATCACAAAAATAAGAATCAGAATAAAAGTAATAAAAGTAATAATCATAAAAGGGCAATGCTTGGAACAGTCCGTATCCTATACTGTGTCAGCTGAGTCAAACTCAATTTGTCCCGAATCCCCCATTGTTAGGGCTACCAGGATGGCTGGCTGGCCTGTCCGCATCGATCAGAGAGACACCCTTCACCATTCGTCGCGGACAATACTTCGAATCTACACAAACAATCATTGTCCAATTCCAAGCAGGAAAAAGAAAAAAAAGTCGCAGGTCAGTGGCTCCTGCTGTCATACGCTATGGATGGCCATTGCTATGAAATGACGTCTGCGGATTGGGGCTAAACGTCGAGATCGACTCACTCGCTCCGAGTCGAGAATACGGGTCTGATGCTACATACTGCCACGTTCAGTGACATTTAAACTCAGTCCATGCGTGCAGTTCCACGTGAACGTATGCCCTACGACCCCCTGTTGACTTGGATCAGATGGGCGATCTCGGCTGCAGTCCAGCGGTTGTTATCCACACATACACCCACATAGTTGGAGGAGAACGTGAGGGGGGGGAAAAAAGGAAAAAAAGGCATCCGAGGGGTGGCTGTAGGCAACTAGGGTCAGTCGCGGGAGAAACGCCAATCAAATGCCCGTCGGTGGCGATAGTTCAGGGCGAAGTTGGCGAACCTCCAGAGGGCCAGCCAGCCTTGTGCCCTGTCAGGCATCCCACGGCAGCGGAGGCTCTCCTGGGAAGTCCAGGCTCCAGATGGTCGGACGGACCCTTCGCATCGTGGCAGTTCAGACTTCAGCCCCATAGCACTGCCTTCGCGATGGACGACACGATCGACATGCCGTGGCCCACACCGGCAAGTACGGCTTCATCGTCAGCACGATCATCATGGAGTCGAGCTGCAGCTGGGATGATGGAAGGATGGATGCCCCGTTGTTGATCGATGATGCACCGCTACCGCTGCCAAGAGCCGCCAAACGACGAGCAGGAAGACCCATTGATCGCCATTTGTTCGCGCGGAATGCATGGAGGGCTGAATATGTCAGCTACACGTTCTACGGCACGGATCTTGAAACTTCCCAATAGTCCTACCTGTATGGATGTACCATGGTAGCTAGTCAGGCACTAAAAAAGGCGCTACGGCCATACGTATCTTGCTGCAACCTTGTCGGTGGCTGGCTGCTCGCTCCTTCATGGATTCCCTTGAGCCCCGAGGGTCCCTCTGGTCGATTGCATAGCTTTGCTTTTTGTTTTTGGCTTTTATTTTTTATTTTTATTTTTATTTTTTTTCCTTCTTGCTCGTCTCGCGACTGCATAACCGACCGAGAGACATTGATCAGGCGCTTGGGACCACAATCGAGAGGCATCCTATTCCGCAGGCTTTTCAGGCAACTGATCGACACCCTGGATAATCCGCCAGCCACATTCGATGGAGAACGGCTGAAGGTCGTCCTTGAATCGCTCTTGGTCGATATGCACGAGGAAAATCTCCCGAGCTGCAGCACCTGCGCGTTCGCCAGACTTTGGGTCTGCCTCATGCCCCCCTCCCCCCCTCTTTTTGGGGCACTATATATGATCTGTCTTCGCCGTAGAGGTGAGAATGCTCTCTGCCTTGACGACATGCACGCTACCGTTTATTTGTAGTTGACGGGAAAGAATCCCTCGTAATTGCCTCGGAACTTGGAGCCACAAGGAAATTTGTTTTACAATGGGCGAAACTGATCGAGCGTCCCCATGGATCTCAGTACGACCATTGTCGACTCAGGCCAAAGCAACGCAGCCGCAAACAACCCTCGGCATGGCCCTGTCTGATCTCGTTTACATCTCGGGGCGCGAATGGGCAAAGGGGAAGCGTTACAGTATCATGATAGATCTACAGGTGCCAGTTAGGCTTGCCAAGATTTTGCGAAGGCTTTCCTATCCATGAGAATGGATTTCTGCTGATCGCCTTGCCGCCGATAGCGGTTGTCCAGCACACACATCTTCCATCGTCATTGCCTCTACGTAGCTCTCCTCGGTGGACCACACGGGGGGTTGAATAGCAGTCGTTTCGCAGATGCGCACGCGCCGGTGAGCGACAACAGCAACTCTCTCCACAGCGACCCGGAAAACCGATTTGGTCCCCAGGCAAGCCGGACAAAGCCATCCCCAACCCCCCACCCCCAGGCACATCAGAGTGCGAAATGTCCTCGCTCTTCGGCAGATTTATCATTTCCCAAACGTTGCCCACGCTGACAGCGAGTGATCATGCATCTTCGTCCGATTATCCGATGGCAGGTAAGGTTATTGCCGTCGGGTCCGGTCCAGTTGGAAAGTTACTCTTCGTTTGGCTGCAGGAGTATAAGGATATGTGACGGTCGGCGAATACAATTTCCTACATGGTGAAGCAGTCCAATGTCTAGGCTCCGCGATTCAATCGTGTCGCAGTGTAAAAGAAGCCGACAAACTCCTGAAAGGGGGTGGTGGAGGAAGTTCCAGGGCAGGCAAAAGGGAAAAGAGGACGGACTCTCGAGTCAACAAACACAAGAATGGCCAGGATGGACCCGCCCTCTACCGCCTGCCCTCTTCGGAGGGATCGGGCCTGGAATCAGTCGTTCTTCCGGAGGTTTCTCTCCATGAGTCCGAGATGACCGGAGAAGAACAAGAACAGAGGAAGGGAATCGAAACGGTCTCCGTTCTGGACAGCGTTGGATATACATCATTATTATTGCCGTATCCGTAATTCCCCCGGAATCTTCAGGTTGCCAATGGAGCTGCAGTAGAACTTCGATCGGCTGAATTTGTTGTATATATATATCTACGTTGTAGATATTGAGCGAAGGGCTGGATCACCGCCGTTAAAAGAAGGTTGCATGGCAACAACTTGAAGTAAGCTTAACTAAAATGAAATCCATCCAGTGGACATCGTTTCGCCTTTGGACAAAGAAAAGTGGAACAGGGAGCAGAGACAACGAGACCAAGGAAGGAAAAAAAAGAACAAGGAGGAGGAAAATGCTCCCACGCGGATTTGAACCGCGGACCTCATGATTACTAGTCATGCGCTCTACCAACTGAGCCATAGGAGCAGGTGTATGTGTTGCTTTGTTGCCTTAAGTGTCTAACAGGGAAAGGAACAACAAACGTACTCTTTTCTAGTGTGGCATGACCATGCAGCAGCTTCTGTTGCTGGCCTCCAATTTGATCCGCTTCCACATCTTGACCTGCTTTGCAAACCGTGGTCTACGAATTCACTGACACTATACGAATATTATCAAGATGATTGACTGTGCATTTCATGGGATAACGAGTGTGTTACGGAGTGGTTTCCACGCTGTACCCAGAATGATCGCCCGTCGACCAGAGGGACTTGGAATCGCCCTAACACATCTTGAATCTACATACAAGAATGACTATGCAGAACATGGAGGGAATTTGGAAAGCTGTGAGAAAGTCTGGACACAGCTCTAGGTGCACACCCAGGAGCCTTTCACTGTTTCTCACCCGTTTACTAGGTCACCTGTGGTGGCTCTTTCGCTAAGCTCACAAAATAGTATCTTCCCAATCCCAGGCATTACTTGGACAGTACACTTCTTCTAGAAACCTGTCACGTCTCCTGACGAGCATGCCACTGATCACCCACCCGGAAGCCAGCCGGAAAAGGATCGGACGGGTCCAAGACCATCTGCTTGAAGCCAGTGATCCACGCACTGCCCTTGACTGTTGGCAAGACAGCTTCATATTGGCCGACCGTGGTGGTTCCTCGTATATGGCAGGTGAACGTGGATCCGATAATACTCTGGTGGACAAAGCTCTCCCCTACCTGGAGCTCGCCCCTGGCGTGCAAGACGGCCATCCTGGCCGAGCTTCCTGTGCCGCAAGGGCATCGATCAAACCTTCCGGGAGAGACCACCACCGTATTCACACCGACTCGCTGGCCATTTTCCTGATGCAGGGGCTCTGTAAACTCAACAATCGTGACCTCTCTGATCTTCTCGTTTTCTGGATGAACTGGGGTATAAGTGTCTCTCACGGCCTGCTTGATTCTCTCGCCAAGTTCAATCAGCTTTGGGCCATTCTCATTGGCGATTTTGAGACCGATGGACCGAGCATCCACGATGGCATAATGCATCCCACCCCAGGCAATATCCACCTTCACTACCCCCAGGCCAGGGACCTCGACCGGGAGATCCAATTGGTATACAAAGCTAGGCACATTATCAAACGCCACGGCTTTGCATTTCCCATCTTCACAATCAGCCGTCACCCCGACCAAGCCCGACGGCGTGTCGAGGACCAGCTTCGTCACAGGTTCCGTCATTTTCACCATACCCGTGTCTAACAGCACCGTCGCCGTGCAGATAGTATTGCCGCCCGACATGGGCGGATACTCATCACTTTCCATAATGATAAACCCGGCATCGGCGCGGGGGTCGCAGGGTGGGAGGATGAGGTTCATACACATGGCCGGTCGGCCTCGTGGTTCGTTCATCAGGAGTTGTCGGACGTCGTCGGCTTCATTCTGGAAGTAGAGGAGCTTTTCATACATGGTCTTGCAGTTCGGTGGGTTGAGAACTCCACCGACAATGACATCGCCAACCTCGCCGGCGCAATGGCAGCCCACGACCGAGATGGTGCGATTGAGTCTCATCGTGTGCACGAGAACGAGGAATGTCGGGTGTGGAGATTTCCCTGCGTCCTAGAGTCGCACGGCTCTCCCTGCGATTTATATCTTTCCCCTCAGAGATGTGGAGGCCAACGACCCCCACGTCGGTTTCCAAACCCGACGGCTCCTCCCTCTTTTTGCACATAGTCACTTGTCCATCAAGGGGAACTGACTCCGGACCGCATTCCGTGGATGTGAGATATCGTTATCAGCGGGCCCAATCCCCGCCATTCCCCCGCAGTCATGATAGCCCAAGGCTTTTTTGACGAGGGACCCGCCGATCGGCTGTCTTACCGGTCTACCGGATGCCATGCCGACCTGATGTGGATTGATGCACCACCCAGTCCTATAAATAACCATTCTTCAGGATTTCCGATTCATCCAGTAAGCAAGTAACCGGGTTTATAGTCGGACCCCGCCACCGTATTCGTTTCCTTCCTCTCCTCCCACCAGTTCTCCCTCCCAGAGCGATAGAAAGGAAAGATGACTGCTCAACAGTCGCTGCAGGGCAAAAATGCCATTGTAACCGGTGGATCTCGCGGCATTGGCAAAGGCATCGCCTTTGAACTCGCCCGTCGGGGCGCCAATATTCTCCTGACCTACAACAGCTCCCGTCAACAGGCCGAAGAGGTCGCGTCGCAGATACGGAGTGTCGGAGTTGACGCAATCGCGGTCGAAGGCAAAGCAGATGATTTGTCGGCACCGAAAAACATCGCCGATGCAGCAGCGGAGCGATGGGGCTGCATTGACATTGTGATCAACAATGCCGGTGCTCGAGAAGACTACCCCGTTGAAGAGATGACATACGAGGCCTTTGATCGTCAAATAGCTGTGAACCTGCGCTTCCCGGTTTTTCTCATTAAGGAGGCGACGCGACATTTCGGAAAGGCGCCGCGCATTGTCAACCTTTCGAGTGTTTATGCTCGGGATGGGCAACCGGGATGTCTGACATATGTGGCAAGTAAAGGCGCAATGGAGAGCCTGACGAGATCCTTGGCCAAAGAGCTGGGACATAAGTACAACGCAACCATCAACTGCGTGAGCCCCGGTCCAGTGAATACGGAGCTGTGGGCCTCTACTACCCAAGACCCCGAGACGAAAGAGGAGTGGGATCGGGTGATCCAGAGCACGCCCGCTGCGCCGAGGGTGGCAGAGGTAGATGATATTGCTCAGATTGTCGCGTTTCTCTCCGAAGAAGGGAGTAGATGGACCACGGGGAGCTTGATCAATGCTAATGGAGGTCTCCTGTTTGTTTGAGGATGGGCCTGACCGTGCCTAAACGTGGACATGGTTGTTTCACCTGTGGACCTAGGCTGGGCCCGAGAGACGAGCGTCGACTAGGTGGTTCACGTCAAGACATTCTGTACCTAGGAACAAGTCCGAGTGCACCAGAACGGAACTGCTTCTGAATATGCTCTGAAAATGTTGCATCATGTGGATCAAGCATACCTAGCTGAAAGCGCATGGGTCGGCCTTGGACCTTCTGGCGAAGCCAGCCTTTGGGGAAGTGTTACTTCTATCTAGACTTGACAATATCTCTCTCAAGATGGCAGCTGCAAGCGTCAGGCAAGAATGTGGGCTACTATATTTTCAATTCAATACCAAGACTTTCAATTGTACAGGCCCGTGCGGTGTCTCCTTGATTGTCGCTTTATGTCGTAGTCCAATACATATCTCAATTACACTTGTCTGCCATTACTTGGCCATTTATGAGAATGCGACTTCCAGTCAGATTCAACGTTCAAGACTTCGCAAGTAACTAACCACTGGATGCTGAATATATAGTTCACGATCTGAATGAACAAATACATGAGAAGAAACGCAGTGAACAGTACTTGCAAAACTCGCGGATCTATGATTCTCCCAACTACACCGCGGCATTGGTGTATAAGTCTAAGTTGTTGTCGTAGCTCCCATGCATTCTGCCCACCTAAGTAACTGTTCTCAGCCATGCAGTGTCGTTGACTTGCACAGGGAAAGACCAAGGCCCAAGCGGACATGGTTAATCGGGAAAGTTGGCACACTCCTGGCTGCGCAGGCCGTGCGTATCAACCTGGAAAACGGCAAAGCGATATTCCAAGGGCACTTGATTGCTCTTAGCAGGTATATGACTACCATCAGCGCAAAGAGCACAATGGTATACACCCAGATGATCTCGGAGATTACCCCTAGGTGCTCAATCGGTAGCCCAGTTGGTGAAGGATGACGGTCATGATGCCGGTCGCTCGAGGCATTCGAAACCACAGGATGGAAGTGTTGCAGAAGGCGATTGATTTGGCCAACCCTGGGGTTACATTGGCATGGTCTCTGGCCTATCGCGCCGATTCTTTGCTTTTATATGCGGGAGTCGGCCCCTAGGGTTGTTGCCTTTCAACGTACTAGGTACCTAAATGTTAATATCGCTAGAAGATAACAGTGTATATGTTCCCCAAAAGATTCCACAGAGACGTTGTGTGTTTCCAAAGTGGGAATCGGCTCATCTATCCCGCATACAACTCGCCATATCGTGGTTTCTCGACAGTCTGCGAAGTCAAACAGCAATGTCCCGGCTGATCGCCCTCCTGATGCCGCACCGCACCCCAGGATAGAGGCTTTCCGGCCGCATCGGAATCCTCTTCTGGGGGATGACACGCAGCGCTTATGGCAACACTGCAACTGCCGATCACCGGGATGCCCGGCTTCAGCTTGAAGGTGCTGACTGTGGTAAGTACGGCAAACATAAGAACTGCCACGGCGAGCGCCGTGACGATAGCGAGTGGGCTGTATCCGCAGGCCGTGATAATGCCACTATCACTTGCACTAGGGAAGTGGGTGTTGGGCCGTGTCAAGAGCTCATTGTTGGGTTGGTAGATTTTCAGATTGATGAGAAAGATTGACTGCGAGATCAGCCAATGTATAATGGTACTACAGGCGAGGAGTGGCAGAGAGTATCTCCACGGAAGCTGTAACCAATACGTTTCTCTCTGGGCTCCCCAGGGAAGGGTCACCCGAAGTGTGGTCTGCTGGTAGGCGAACATACTCCACTCATAGGCGGATGCCATGCCCGTGAGCACAGCATTGTACATAAAGTACAATCCCGAGAGTAGCAGTTGTGGGAGGTTCGCTACGATCGACGTGGTGACAATGGACGCGGCCGTACCTCCTCGGTAGCCGGACGTGTTGACGATGGCATTTAAACTAAGTGCGCCAAATCCCGTCGTGAACGCGTTCCGCGCCCCGACAAGGTTGATACCTTTAAAGAGAAAAACAAGGCCTACGATAATGCTGGCGAGCCACCTAGAAGTGTCCTAGTTAGTATCGCCTCGCCACGGTCAACCATCTGCTGAGCGAATGGGACCTACAAGAGGATGCATGCTCCCCAGCGCCTCACGGATGTACCTTGATAACACCGCCCTAGCCAACCTTCGCCGTGCTGCCAACGTTGTGCCCACGCAGGATCAATGTCGCTTGGGTCGGGGAATATCGTGTCATCCATTTTGGAGAGGAGGCATTGCCCCTTGGAGACCATATCGGGGGACCTTAAGAAAGAGTCCAATGCATCGCCGATAGTTGCGAGAGTCGGTTCGCGAGAGACAAGAAGACATAAAAGAATGGAACTGAATTTCAGAGCATTGCACGCAATCGCAATGTATAGGATAATCGGGCTGTACAGCAGCTGGCAGGTATGACTTGACTCCGTTACCAGGCAATGGTCGATCTCATAATGCTCTGGTAGAATGGCCCATTTTGTGGCATTCCTCGTTGCCGCAGAGCCGCTGCATTGGCCATATAAGATGGCATCGGGGTGGCACATCCAGTCGCTCGTTTGTGTGAGCGCATTGGGCGCCCAACCTGTCCCGTTCACCTTATGCTCCTGGCAGGCAAATGGAACCGATGCTTCATCCCAGTTCTCATCAAAGCAGTACCTTGGGCTATCATTATCCTTTCCCCATTGCTTGCACAGTCCACTACACCATTTCTCAATCTGATCCGGATAGTCCAGGGGATGGAAATACGCCAGCACAGGCAGAGTCGTATTACTCGGAGGCGGGAAGATCTTAGACTGATTCCACGCATCACTCTGCCTGGTAACAGCCAGCATATTGAACGACCGTCCCTCTAAACCGGCTGTATAGGTGGAGATGCAACGACTGGGATCCATCTGCGTCAGGCTGCTGCGGTTGTTCCGGGCTTGATCAAACAACCAGCAAGTGACATAGCTGGAAAACTCGGACTGTCGGTATTTTTCCATCGCTTCACTGGTACAATCCAGGCCAATGTCACTGCGGCTTTCCAAAAATTCCCGAGTGACAACGAGTCCGCTGTAGTCGTTGAAGGTGGTTGTCATCACTACGGCCGAGTTCCACAGGAGGTGCAAAGGGAGAGTGCTCACTAGGAGAGCCAGCCACAACGCCAACTTGGCCTTCCCAATGAAAGATAGATTGCGCATTGAATGGACGCCGATATCCAACCATTTGCGCTGAGCGTGGGCTTGGTCCACCTGGCGTCGCGTCGGAGCCGTCAAACATTGCATGTTGTAGTTGCTCGCACCAACCAGCACGGTCGCAATCACATTCAGGGCGTAGTGCAGCCTGCTGTCCAGACTGTGAATATGGTCGCAATCGCTCTCCTGCATGATTCCCAGGTTATCGCCGCTTGGAGGGTACGTCAGCCGAACATAGATGGTGGCCGCGAGGTTGAGGCCGAGGCATATTCCGACCAGAATGCATGAAATCAATGCCCCAAATCGCCATCCATGAAAATGATTTGGATCCTGAGCCTTGCCGGGCAATCGATTATAGCCTTTTCCTGAGCGAAGGACCGCTCGGGAATACCAGCTTTTGGTGGATGCCCAAGTGCCATGTCGTGTCCATGTTTGGGCAATCTCGGGATTCTCGGAAAGCTCGACAGCCTCGTTTGCGAGAAGGTTGGTCGAGTCAACGCCCATATCGCAGTTGGAAGCAGGATGGCCTGGGTGGTGTCGGAGAGCAACTGGAGAAGAGAAGTAGAGTCCAGCACATGAGAAGCTTGCGAGTGTCTGCCGATCGCATCTCAGCCTCGCTTGGCTCGCCGATCCTTGAGGCTGATTCGCTGTCGCTATTACACGAAATACACCAAAAGAGCATGCTTTCACGCAAGGGAAAAATCGATTTACCGGTCCGAATGCTACGCATTTGACTGGGCTTTACGGCCATGAACAGATTGTGGTTCATTTCGGAAAACGCGTGCTATCCAACCTTGGACAGCTCACCCTGGTATCTACTTTGAGCGGGATACGAAGAGACACAGAACAATCTGACTACGCTACAGTGCAGTCCGCTAGCTGCTGTGGAGAACCAAATATGAAACATTATGAAGTGGGTATTAATAGAATCATTAAGTACTAAGCGTCGTCCACAGTCGTCACCACTGATTGAAATCACATCGAACCATATACAACCGAATGATGCCACACCACGCGCATCCGCTACAGGACGAGAGCGCCCGCGACAGCAGCCGCGGCAGCCCCAGCCATACCCACACGAGCTGGGTGGTTGTCTGCGGCCGCTCCAGTCGCAGTCGCAGCCGCGCCAGTGGGACCAGCCTTGTTGAAATTGCCCAGACCGGCCGTGACGGTCAATTCCTCATAGAGGACCTCAGCAGAACCGGTGGCAGTCACTCTGGTGGCCATTGAAGTAGAAGTGGACTGGCCTTTGTATTGGACCGCGGCACCGACCGAAACGGAGCAAACAGCAGTGGCAGTCGAGGAGGTAATATCGCAATCTTGGACGATCGTCCCCGTTCCTTTGGCACCCATGGTGGTCATCGTATAAACCGCGCTCATGGTGAAGGTGGAAGGGCCTTGAGTGATGGTGATGGGCTTGGTGAGGGGACACGAAGAAGAGCCCTCCTTGCAGTTCACCGCGTACGTGGTCGCCTGGGCATCACCGCCAACGACACTGCCTCGAAGGTCGTTGAACGCGAGGGTGTTGAGGTGGCCGTTGAGAATTCGGACGACGGTGGTGGAATCGTCGGCGGCAAATGTGGTGGAGAGGCTGGCCGCCAGGAGAAGGAGAGACTGGAGGACACGCACCATCGTGGCGATTCGGAGTCTTCTCTAGGACGCGAGGAGGAGGAGGCGGTCAACTATTTGGCCTGAAGGGACGGCGAAGAAGACTTGTTCCCAGGAGATGAGAAAAGAGTACTACGAAAAATTTTGCGGATTGACTGGGGTAGATCCTGTTATGTACGCGATTGCGCTCGAGCTATTCTCGAGCCTGAAAAGGGGCCCAAAGAACTTCGAGGGAGTCGCTGACTGGAACCAGGATGCGGCTGAAGTCAGACACCCTCTGATTGACTCATGGGCCTTTGACAGAGACCGTCGACGACCGTCATTAAACCTGAAGGGGCTGAATTTAACTTGATTGGCCTGCTGGAGGCTCAAAATCAGTGGATACGAGGGGTTCCACCGACTGCTGTGATAACTTCGGCCCAACCCGACTCAACCCAGGTAGAACTGACCAATTCTAGGGGATCAGGGCACCTGAAGTAATTTTGAAGGACCCTCACTAGTTTGGGGGCCAAGGCCAAGGCAGCTTGTTCTTTTTTTTTTCACCCCTCGTGGTGGGCCAAAGCCCCCAGAAGATTTGCTTCGCCATCTCGTAGCCCTATCAGGTGACCCACCCCCAGGCGTTGATCTTTCCCTAAACGGCCCCAGTCCTGCATTTGAAGAAGGGTTCAATATGCTGAACAATAACTGCGATTTTCATTGGTTCGCTGCGATCCAAGATGTGAAGCCCCTGGTGATCTGGAGACATCCCTTCGGTGTCCTCGGCTTCCAAACCCCATTGTTCCAAGTCCACCACTGTCGCGTCCACCGTCCGCTCAGTGTTCGTCTCGCAGGCAATCTTCTGCCACATTTGCTGAAAGCTCTCAAGGTTATAGTAGAGCATCACCCTCCAGGGACGCATATACTCCCTACCCTAAATGGCGCAGCTCAAGGCTGATATCGAGCGCCCACTTTAGCCGGTAGGAGTCGGAGATTCTGGCGCAGTCTGTAGCCGAGATCCAACACGATGACCCCCCTGGCGTGCGCACTGAAGCACATGCGTAAATTGGGGGAACGCGGCGATGCCTGACAAGAGAAACATACCCTGCCCAATGCATGGATATTCACCATTTTCCCAGGCTTAATCGCGCCGAGCCGGGCATTTAGCTGGCTTCAGTGTTACGCTACCGAGGAGAACAACTCACTACTGCATAAAGATAGCGCCGTAGCTCGCTACTGGGACTGTTTCTCCATTTCCTTAGGGTAACCCACATTGGTGCGCTGAGCCGAGGTCCAATGTGCCTTTTGTACCAAACGGATGTGTCGATCGGCATCGTGGGCTCCTGAACCTTGCAAAGTCTGTAGGGACAACCATTGATTGCAGAGGGTGGGGACTTTAATATACGGGGCGATGCTTGGGCGTCATTCGCCAATGTATGAACAATCTTCTGCATAGTCATAATCCAGGTCCAGTCTCCTGGCCGATTAATGCAGCACCAGTCTTGAAGAAAGTGACTCAAGAACCGACAAGCCACCAAGCTCTACGGGCTGAGTTCACGGAATCATCCTATATATACCATTCTTACCATAGCCTCACGACATCCGGAGGAGATAAAGACTTGATCCAGCATATCGCGGACGAAACCACCCGGGATGCAGAAGAGTATCGCAAGTTCTGCGAGACTGCTACAGCCAACGGAATCGCTGCAATCTTCCGCACAGCCATACACGCACAGTCCCACTATCTGGTGAGGGAACAACTTGAAGCCGTGAAGGTCGAAAACTTTGACCTGGGAAACTCAAATGCGTTACGTTTCATTCGAGATGAAGCACAGGGTTTCTACGCCGATGAAAATGAACACCATAATCGCCAGCGCGGAATCACACGTACTAGCCCTTTCAGCCGTTCTAACTTTGATCGGATCTTCGACTATGCTCTAGCACGAACCAAGGAGGAGTGGGATGTGGGAAAGTGTTCCCACGGGCGCCACACTAGTATATAAGTTCCACCTATTCGACAGTGTTTTCCAAAGCTGGGCCACCTATTGGCGGGGCCACTTCGGAATCGATATCGACTTCATCCACCCCGACATTATGAATGGGAACCCGATGGCCTTGGGCATTCAGGGCCGACGTACCACCATTGTAGGCAACGAATATGCCGATATTATCCAGCCAGCTTTCTTGAAATGATTCGGCGATGCCACCACCGAAAATATGTGCGTGGCAGATGTGTACTTGTGTCCGAGTGTACATCGTCTCAGAGAGTACCAAACGGTGCCTGGAGCTGCAGATGCAATTACCGGGCAGGGTCTGGCCAATCCATTCGCCACTCTTCGTGCTGCAGCTGCCATTTTAGAGCGACGCGGTGGGTACCCTGGTGTGTGCGTTCAAAGCCAGATGGAGAGAGACATACAGACCCTGTTGATAAGGAAGCTTACAACACCAGATCAAGGCGGCTCTCGTAGCACGGACGCGGTTGTTGAGCACTTCCTGAACGCGATTGCTGATCCTGTCGCACCTGGACACCATCGACCAGTCCTGATATAGCCTTAGGAGGTATCGATGTCATGATGGGTAAGAGAGCCGCGGTGGTAGTGGTTGGCTACTGGAACGACTTCGTCTTAAGCACGCTGAGCCATGTGATTTCAGAACTATCCAACTCAGTTCCGCGTCTTGTCGAATATGCCCGCCATCAGGGCAGCGAGGCCATCTTCGTGCGCTTTCTGGGCGACGCCAGCTATCAAGGATCAAGTTGGAGGTATCGGAATGTAGTGCTCGGGAAACCAGAAAAATGTGTCGAGGGCATCGTCACCCCTCGCGCTGGCCAGCGGGTCTTTGACAAGAAGGCTTTATTTGACTCTTTCCTCATTCCTAAGTTCTCAGAGTCTGTGTCCGAACAGGGATTTGAGCATTTAGTGTTGGCGGGATTGTACAGCGACGTCTGCGTTGATGCGACGGCTCGAACGGCATTTCCAAAGGGGCCGTGGATGACGGTTGTGGAAGACTGTACCGCTACTTTGTATTCGAACTATCATAATCATTTGAAGTTTATGGAAAAAGTGTATGGGGCATGCGTTGGACCCTCGGCTACAACCTCCAGCACACGATATTTATCAAGGGGAGATGAGCTTCATCGCCGGATTCGAAATTCCGATCGACGATTTAACAAGCCAATACTCTGCCACGGTAAGGAACGAAGGTCGCTCAAGTCATATTATGCAAGGGTCTACCACTTCCAGACAGGACGGTGAGCGGGAATGCCTCTTGTGTCCAGGCCTCTAGGCTTCTGGGACATGCATAAACCGGTAGGCGAATGGCTGGGAAAGATCAAGATGTCGCCATAGGAAGCAAAGCTCATAATTTCCTCCCAGATGGGTTGCCATCTTCAGCACCGGCGACGATTTCGTCCTCGACCTCCAAACCCACCACCATATCCACCACCATATCCGCCATGATGCGGTCTTCCGCTCCATCCAGGTCCATATCCTCCGGGCCCCATTCCAGGTGCTCCATAGTGAGGTCGGCCGCCAAAGGAACTCATGAGGGTATGTCTTCGGGGTGGAGGCATCACGCCCGGGCGCATCCGGCGGTGGCTGGGGACGCTGCAGCAGAGGCCCATACTGGGGTACTGGGATTAACCAAGGATATTATTCTAGTAGGTTATGTAGACCAAGAAGAGATGTCTAGGGTCAAGACAGGGGGGAGTTGTACGAGGCTACGTATGGAATGAATGTTCTCTCATCTACCCCGAGTCATGTCGTCATCCGCGTCCCACTGCAGAGTCAATCGCACCCAAGCCCTTCGCATCTTCGACGCGCCAATCAAATTGAAGCTGAGGGCTTGGCCATCTAACTGGGGACGGTGTTGTGGCTGCTGCTTTGACGACTTCACTCGGGGTATCAATCCTTGAGATCCAATGTAGGTCGCCAGTCCATGCGTCTCCGCCAAAGAGAACGATTCTGGATACAGTACAGATGCCAGGAGATTTGCTCAACATCTGAGATGAAACGCATGCGGCGGCAATATGCAAGGATCTTCAGCCAGCCATGAAGCCCAGATAACAGCCGACGTATGTATGATCTGTCTGGTTGACAAACCCTAGCCTCGCCGAGAGCTCTTTGGATATTGATGGCCAGATTCGCCTATCCCGTACTCTATGGATTCATTCAGAGTGTTTTCATGCAGGGGGAGTATACGTCTCATATGCTTGCCAAAAAGACCAAAATACAAAAAGCAATCTCCTGTCGCCCAAAATCAGATTGTGGATGATCAATGCGACTATTTGCACTTGCGGGGACATATCAATTTCAGCTGGCAAAACAACCGTGATCTACATTGGTCACAATATCTTTATCCGTCTTGGACAAAAACACAGTGTAGCACCCTTGTTCGACACGTCTTGAACATACCCGATACCGCCATGCATACGAGATTCTTGTTTCTCCTCACCCTCCTTGTTCAGGGAGGACTATCTAAGCGTGACTGCGATCAAAAGGGTATGAGATGTCACTGGGAAGGCACGAGCCCCAGCTGTGGTAGCACCGATAAAAAGTTAGGAGACACGGAGTACGAGACGACGGTACCTATGTATTGCACGAATAGACCAAGGACTACAACCGAAACACCATTTGGAACAAAAGCCTGGTGGGCTACGGCTGCATCAGTCAAGGGTCCTACGGAGAGTCATGCTAATTGGCATATAGTTATGCAGAGCTAGAATTACATAGTTCGGTACTGACTTTCCATGTACCAGTCCCAACCCTGAGACATCTAATGACAGTGAGCCACTCACTGGCAAACCCAAGGCATACACTGGTTGGGCATTCGCCGGCAGCGACCAAGTCCTGGACTTGGATGACCAGTGCAAATCCCTCTCGCGTTCCTTGTATGTCGCTATGAATATTTAAGTACTTTCTCTTAATCTTCGCAGTGAATCTAACATGGTTTACAGGTTTAATGTGGGATCTCTTGATATCCCTTGTTCTTTGCACAACAGAACTCATTCAGCCATATACTCGTACGCACCATCTGGATTTACTTTCTCCTCTTATCCAGCGCTGATTAGGTTTGCTTGAGATAATAGGGATGCAAAATATGCCAACGGAATTATCATATACAATAGCAGCCATTATTTCCTTTTTTCGCGACCAGGCAAGGGGAGAGACACGGCGACATTGGCAGCCGCGTCGCAAGCATCAAGTGCCAGGTGCGAGCCAACACAGCCCTGTGGACATCCCATGTTCGGTCGGTCGATTATCCGTCGAACGAGAGCGTCGGTCAGTGCCCGAACGAAAAAATACTCTGCCTTCTGTAAGGGTAAGCCCCGGTCTGGCGGACTTTATTGCAGCGACTATGCGACGTGCCAGAAGGCCTTGAACCTGGGAGATGCTTGCACGAAACAACAGGAGTGTGGTGTGAATATTTGCCAGGATAACACCTGCCAGCAAGCCTCTCAGTCGCCTCTTGGGTGGTATGGACATAAGTAAAGGTGAAGGCAACCCGATTTCGTTCGGTCTAGGCATGGCATTTCGGAAAGCCGGGGCAAGTTTCAGGGTGGTATATGCTGAAGGCAGGATTTTTAGACTCTCGGTACTTGACTTGATTTAATCTTTAATACGTTTTAGGATAGTATAATACATTCCTCGCCGAGACTAGAGAAATGGAAATCTAAATATAGTAATCGAATCGTTGACCTAGATTAGATTCTCTTTTCAATCAGTATATATATACTTTGTAGATCAAGATTCAATCACTTTCTGATGATCCGTTCCTCATACCCTCACCTAGTTGACGGCCGACAGGTCATCTACCCTGTACACAAGATCTTTCTGTTATCCAAATGGCTCCTGAGTCCTGAACGCAGTGGCTTGGTGGAGAGCCAAGCCAGCCATCTATGACATGCCTTCGGTTATTGCAACTGAGCTCGGGCTGTCGATTACGTCACGGAGCTGCCGCCATATCAGGAGACTTCGTATTGTATTCTGAGCCATGGCCACGTCTAGAACCCCCAGTGCTCTCTAGTTCCTTGGTGGAAGACCATTCCAACTTCGCTGGTGGCAATGGCGAGGAAGATGAAGTGAAATACAGATGTGCTGCCTCCAACCAGGCCAGATCTGCCTGCTGAGAAAAAAAAAGACCTTGGGACACGAAGACCATTTGACTGGCATTTCACAATGTCTGAGAAACCCCTATCACCAGCAGAAAGGAATGGATCGCCTGAAGTAACTCCCACAACCCAGCCATCTACAGTCCCCGCCCCGCTAGGAGAGGCTCCGAAAGTGATACCTCTAACCCTGCTCACAAATCGTCCGACCATAGTGGACTGCCCATATTGCCATGCACGAACAGCAACTCAGACGGAATTGATTGTTGGATCACAGGCTACGTGATTCTCCCTTTCTGTGCGGTGATAACAGGCCAATAACCCTGGGTATAGCTGCTGGTCATGTCTGTGCTGCATCTTTCTTGGCCCGCTTGGTGCTCTCATCCCGTGCATTTTGCCAAATTGCAAAGATTGTGAGCACTACTGTGGGAGCTGCGGTAGGCCGCTCGCTGTCGTTGAACGGCGGGGAAACGTGCGAATCGTATATTATGATAGTCGAGCGATATGACGTTTTAGTGTTGGAGGGAGAATGCGCCTCTATATCTGGTTGCTATCAGGATCTCTTGACAATAATGACTATTCGGCCTCTTCAAACATCTCTGTAACAGACCTCTCCCTAAGAAATTGTGTGGTGTCTTCTTGAGCACCGACAAGGAGCCTCTCTCCCTACGTCTAGGCCCCCTTTGATGGGAAATTCGGGGATAGCTCTACCCCCATGTGACCCTCATATTGGTATATTACATATGCATCTACTTGTATATGCTCGAGTCATTATAATGACTGCAGAAGTGATCCGCTTCGTTCTCCAACCTCGCTCTAAGTGTCAAAGACTAGACTACTCTTTCCATATCTACGATGGTCTTGGAATTGTCTGATGTAAAAGAAAAAGAAAAAGAAAAAGAGATACAAGTTTTCTTAACGTTGCTGGTAGTTATTCCCGCCGCAAAATTAATCGCCAACACGGATTTTTCAGAAGGTTGGATCTATCCTATCAATCATCCCTAGAGCATCTGACACGACTTGCTCCTGCTACATCGTAGGAGTCCTCAACGGATAACGTCGCGAATGCTTTTGCAACTGGGTAATGCATTTTTAATCGATCAAAACAGTGCTTATCTAGCCCGACAGTAAGTCATGGTGATAGCCATGTTACACCACCCTCAGGCCAACTTGTCTTGCTATGCTAGTCATTCTTGCGGGTGGCTAGGATCCATTAAATGAATGCGTTTCGCAATCTCCAGTGGATGCGAGCCTAGATCAAGAGTAACACACAGCTCGTAGAAGTCTGACTGTAAAATAACGAGCACACCGGCCGCAAGAACGGGAGCTTAACAATCCCCCGTATGGCCAGAAGTAACCACCCTTTCGTTCCTTGAGTTCTGCTACATTCCCTAGCTCATTGAGAATTTCTTTCATCGGTGCCGCTGCAGATCTACAATACTCATCGGAACCTGGAGTAAGCATCCGGATAGGATACGAGGAAGATCTGCTGCCCCGGCCTCGGCGCTGGTTATAAAATGAATGACTCCATGTCTGGCGAGTACCTAGTCCAAGTCCCAGTATCTAATACCATACCTTCAAGGTTTTAGTTCCTAGATCACAAGTGAGCCAACTCTCCTAAGACAGCCGCATAGACTCACCAGAACAGGGGTATGGTGCCATTGCTTGAAGTTTCGAAATTCCTTCCCATCCAACGGGTAAACGAGACCGAGGGCGTTCGCTGTTAACAGTCTGGATTTGGATCGTTCGGCGGGGATGTGAAAACTACTCGTTAGCTGTTGGCGCTGAACGCAAACAAGGAGATTCCGTATTAATATCGCCATTACTTCTGCTTGATGAGGTGAGGTAAACATTCCGGTCTGGCCACGTAACCTCAGTTTCGACTCATGGATAGCTACATTGGTTTATCATGATACAACATCACATTCTTCCAAGCACCTCACTCGCAACAGATAGGAGATACGATTGAAATGATCGGGAAACAAGACATGCAACCTTCAATGAGCCGGAATTAACGCGCGGCGGGGAGAAGAAGCCCAGGCCAAGAGGTGGTGGGGAACGAAATCCAAGGAAGTCGAGCTCAACTGGACGATTCCCTGCCGAGGTTCAGCCTCGCTTATGAATAGACTCCACTACGGAGTACCCGGTCGTACGACTCATAGTCACCAGCTGGCCTCAAGTGGGTCTGCAGCGCCTTTGGAAATTGTAACTTCTTGCCCCAATTTACGCACGGAGTCGCCGTCTTGACCCTGAGCATCGCTGATTTGTGGGTTGATAAGACTGCCACAGCTATACTCCGGCGTAAGATTTGCGATTAGGATACATTATAACAGATCAAATTTCAAGAAAGGCGTGTTGGTTGCTAACCATTTTACCCGAGGACGAATGGTGTAGGTCGTGTATATGAAGTGAATCGTGCTAAGCAGACTAGTAGTACTGCGATAGGGCTAGCTCCATGACTCCGGTGCATACTATTACTGCACTTAATTAAATTGAGTGCCGGCTAAGCTCTGTCGTTTCTGGCCGGTGTCTTACGATGAGTCAAAGGCTTCTAGCTCTATAGCCTCAAGCCATCGGGGGTGAGGGTGACAACAGCGAAGCTGCCCGTAGCCAGAAAGTCATCTGAAGGGTTGGGACAACAAGAGATCAAGATGTTTGATCGAAGCCAAAATTGAATGGTATTCTCTAGCTGGAATCATTATTCATGAATATCGTGGCTCCCGTCGGGTCTCATCTAGGCTCCGTAGCGATATGCTTTCACCCTTCGCCAGTACTTGGCCGTGTATAGATGTCGAGGGGCTGTCGTGCGAAGGATTCATGCCGAGGGGCCACTTATCCGTCTCCCCGGTGATGTTCTCCCCAAGCCTGGAGAAGCCATCTCCTACTTTCGCTTTGACATTGCTAGCGGTGTACCGCTGACCTCGGGTCTTGGAGGAGTGTTTGCTCATTAACTTCCGTGGTAGAATCCGAACGATTAACGGCCAGATAGAAGGGAGACACGCCGAAATGATAATGATGCCCGCTTCGATTACGGTCCAGATACCTAGATTCACCGATGCCCCTGTCCAGTGATATTAGTGACGACCAATCGATGACAACCAAGTGCATCTTGCGAAGGCTTACAGGTCGGATCAGTGAGAGCGTTCTCCTGGAAAAAGATAGTCATGCGCAAAACGCTGGCGACAGTCCCCCTACAGGAGCATACATGAGACAACGGCGGCGGTGGCATCGTTACGCAAAGTACTTACATTCCTCCAAGTATGAAGACCCCTGTCAGGGCGAGTTTCTGTGTCATTCGTGTCTGCAGCTTCCAGACAAACGGCAAGGGCATGACCAAGATCAAGACATCTGTCAGAATGTTCGGAGGGGAGACATAGCGATAAAACGCTTGTTGGTCAAAGCACGATCCACCTGGAATGGTCTTATCCCATGCATATTGCACAGGGGCACATTGGAATATCGCCGCGAAAAAGACACCAATCCCATGGCCCAGGACAATAAAGCCAACCGTGTAGGCTATCGTGCGGAACTTGGGTGTGCTGAAGATGCGGATATAGAAGAGAAGAATCGAAATCTTCGCCGGGGTCACGGTAAAGGGAAAGTCGAGAATTTGGTTGGCCACCAGCCCCTGGAATCGGATTAACGGTCGCATTAACGAGGGCTCTGAGAGAAATGTCACCTTTTGAAGATTGACGAGTTTCTCGGGGGTCTGCATCACGTATTCGAGATGATAACCCAGCCCACCAATCTTGAGCACTTTTCACCAGTCAGAGCGTCTTCTTGAACAGTTGGATTGATGATGTCCGCGCACGTACAGACTATGTATAATGCGGATTGGCCTAAGCTGGCAATCTATATGCAGGGAGGCCAGTTAGTACCGTTAGACGGAATGCCGGGTGGATAGGGAGAGCAACCAAAGAAGGTATAATCAGGTAGTCATCGACTGCGTAGGCGACTCGCTGTACATAGCGGGCATAGAACCGAGCGGCGACCACCAGTATTTGGACGACTGCGATGGCAATGGATACGCCCATCAGCGAGTCACCACAGTAGGCGACATCCGCACGGCCTGCCGAATGGCTCATTGTCACCGCAAGGGATGCAGCAACGCAGGCAATCAGACCCTGCACAGGGTGGGATTCTCAACATCTTTTAAAGCAGGAGCGCGCACAGAGTTACCTAATTTCAAATCTCGCTGGATTTAATCAATTGTTCGGGGCCAAGACTCGACCTGGCGCTCTGGCCATGGATCGCGACGGCGTGGAAGTGGAACCCGCGATCTCGAGTTTGGCATCGCACGTTAATTTAATCGCTTCCGGAGCTCCACATGGTCGTTGCGTGGGAGATTGGAATTGGGAACAGCAATCAACGTGCATCCTTCCTTCAAGACCCAGCCTCCGTCTGAGACATGACGCCTACTCGCTTATCTGGCCTTCGCTCGGCGGGTGCGAAACAGCGTCCCTGAGTAATCTCGTTCCTAGCAGAAGAATGAAAACCGTCGCTCTGGCTTGGCCTGGAAACATACTCCATATGCCCCCCCCCCCCGAGTGCGTATCTCCACTGTTTTCTCGTCGGTGGGTCCCGTGGCATCCGGTTTCAAAAGCCCAATGTCTCCCTCAGCCATATCAAGGATCTTGAATATTCCCAACCATCAGAGTGGGTCGTGGGATTTTAAAGTCTCCTCTTACCCCCGGGTTGAATGCCCCAAATATTATCAAGAACTGGATCTTTCATAAGCGCTCCAGACTAAAACATGTCGAGTACTCCTTCTCTCGAAGAACAGATCGCGTCGCTCACACAGACGGTGCAATCGAACAGAGAATCTCTGGACGATGCTACCCGATTGAGGACTCTCAAGGCCGCACGAGGCCTTCTGGACGCCCTGGGGTCTCCACCAGAAACTGTGATGCAAGATGTGGTCTTAGTATGTGGCGAAAAACACCCATAGAGAAGCACCTGGCCAAACCGGCATCGTGTCGGCCCCAAAGATCAAGACGCTAACTAGCCGATGCGGTATAACAGAATCCTGTTTTGCTTATGGCCCTTCGCATGGGGGTGCAGCTTGGTGTATTCCGGATGATCTGCGACCACCAAGAAGAGGGGACAACTACCGAGCAAATCGCGAGCCAGTCAGGAGCAAGTGTTCTCGTTGTCGGTGGGTTCACGTACTTTTCTTCCTATCATGCCGGCTTCAAGATGCGTTGCGATTGCACGGCCTTAACACTTGACGGGTCTCACGCGCACTATGTCGATCCTCAATTTGTCCCGTGTTTGATCAGGGACTGGATATATAGCGCGATCCCAATATTCTTCTGACATCACGAGGAACCTACATTTGCTGACGACATGTACGTACGTAGGTCAGATCTTGAGGTTGCTGGCCGCCGCAGGATACGCGTCAGAGACAGGAGTCCAAACCTACAAGCCCTCCCCTCTCACCATGGCGATGGCGGATGGGACTCTTGAAGCGACCACTAGAGCATGGTATGCAACTTCCTCTCCGGCGCATCAAGTGTGTCCAATCAGGGGTCACTCATTCTAATGGGTTCAGTTTCGATATTGGAAATTACTGCACTACCTATGCCCCAGAATACTTCCGTCAGAATAACAATCAGTTCCCAACATCGGTAGAAGAGACTCCCTTCCAGCTAGCCAAGAACACTCCCATGAGTTACTTCGCGTGGCTGGGACAGAACCCGTCCCTGGCGAAGGACTTTCAGCAATGGATGACACTCAAGCAGCAAACAACCCCAAACTGGGTGGACTGGTTTGATATTCCAGGCAGCCTCCTTGGGGGCTTTCGCAACCAGCCGGATGATGTCTTGCTGGTGGATGTGGGTGGCGGCGAAGGACACTATCTCCACGCATTCAATGACAAATTTCCTGATGCCCCGGGGCGTCGTATATTGCAAGATCTACCGCAAGTGATTTCCACCATTAACAACCCCCCAAAGGGTACTGAGTTGATGGCGCATGATTTCTTTACCGCTCAACCAGTGAAAGGTACGAAAAAAAATATCTAGACTTTGCCTTGGCAGGAGAGTGTGCTTTTCTCTGCCTTCATCCCATCTTCTTGACTCTTAATATGCTGACCAATCCATCAGGAGCTCGAGCATACTATATGCATTGGATCCTGCATGACTGGCGAGACGAGCAAGCGCACAGGATCCTCGGCAATATCGTTGATGCCATGGAGCCAGGTTATTCTCAATTGATCATCAACGACCAGATCATCCCTGACCAGGATTGCGACTTTGCCACCGCGTGTATCAGCATCATGATGATGCTCCAGGTCGTGCCTTCGAACGCACCGAGAAGCAGTGGCGTGCTCTTCTGACGTCCGTCGGCTTGAAGGATGTTTCTTTCTACCAACCGCCGGGCAATGGGGAGGGCATCATTGTTGCCACCAAGGCGTGATCTGTTATTGCATTATTGTGTTGGAGAGATGTATATTTATCGCATTATAGACATGAGTTTAGCACAAGAGATATGGCAAAATCTAACCAGATCGGTGAGTAACGAGTCTCATTCGGTCATCGATGAGGCCGGCCATTATAAATCCATGACGACCCGGAATATAATCTTCGTACGTCGCGGCCAAGCGACGATAGTGCCTTTGCTCTACCTCGCAGGTAAGAGAGAAATACTGCACACCTTCGGGGGAGCAATTAAGTATTGTTTGTAGGATTCGAGCCTTTCAGGACGCCAGTTCGCTGCTGTCTCTACGTTATGGGCAGCCAATGAATGTCGCCTTGGTCGTATGGTTCACGCCGGAAGCTCCAGGAAGCAGCAAGATACCCAGCATTCAAAATGCAAAACAAAAACATACAACAGGAGGGATTCGCTGGTGGTCACCCACCCAACTACTAACCTCCCGGCGTGTGGCTTAAGTACGGCTGAGCGGACGGGAAGCCCTGTTCTCCACACCCTGTGGTCGTATGTATCAATTTGCGCCAAATTATGGCTTGTATGGATAGGAATATGTAGCTGTATAGCAAATATAATCGCTACATGGGAGATCAGGGACTCCTAGTACGGCCCTTCTACACCTCTTGCTCCAGTAGGTTCTCATTGGCCAGGTGGCATACGGAGCTTCATTTTCCATCGACGAGAAGACAGGGTAGTGTCAGCTACTAGTTATGAAATGCTTTCAGCTTAACTAATTAAAAACCTCGCGTCTTGGAATATGGACGTATACTCAATATCCACAAAAAAAAGATCAATTTTCTGTTAAAGTATAGATCAAAGTATATATCTCTACGTTTGCTAGTAAGCCGCTCTCTTCTTTCTAAGAGAATGGTGGCGTTGTAAAAAAGTTGGTTGAATATATATTTCGCTGCGGTTCGGGCTGTAACATGTTTAGTGCAACCTTTGACGGTAGAATACCGAATACTGATTGTGTAATGTCATAGATTCAAAGGCAACCCTGCCTGATGACTGTACACTATACTCTGCCCCTTGTACACATATCTCTCGGACACCGAAAAGCCCGACGGCACATATATCCATTGGCTTCAGCATATTACACTGGGCCACTTGTGTAGGCGACCCTGATACACTGCACTCTCTCCCTTTCCCACTTCTTGTCGATATCCTCCTGTTCTGGAGATCTCAGCAAACGGCTACCAGGCTATAACAGGCCTCGACGAGGCTTGTAAATGTATTGGAAGTAGTAAAACTTACCTAGCCATATAGCAATATGTAGAGTTGCGGTAACCTACAGATCACTTGTTTGGGAGGGATCGGTTTAAACGAGCAGGTATAATTTGGAACATGAAACACTACACTGCAGGAAATGGCAGCAAAGTAGCTAGAGTTCCCTGGGTTGCTTATGATCCCACATATGCTTAATTGTGACCCCTTGAACCTAGGGAAACACAGAGTAATTATTGTTGAATTTCTCTGTCTATAATGATAGATGGGAAAGTAAGGAAATCGAATCAAAGGTCCCAGGACTGCTCCTTACAACTTTGAAGGTCTCTTGGCGGGTAATTCAGCAGCTGTCAAATCCAACATTTTCCACCACTGATCCGAAAAGGACGACTTCTCGCTCGCTGGTAGTTCACTCCAACCTTCTGCAATCCGCCGTTCATCATCTTTCCACTTTTGCACCACCTCGGTTAGCCAAGGCCCTACAGCACTTGCGGTTTGGCCAACCTTTTCCAGCGGCAGTGTATGGCCAGATTGGTCGATGACAAGGTGCTTGACTCGACTGTATTCTCGCCCACCACTGCCTCCAAATCCGGTCCCTGTTTTTTTGGCCGCTCTGGAGTGGTGTCCGGATAAGAAAAGATCACTGTTGGCTCCGCTGAGGTATAAGACGGACGGTCGAACATGTGGCAGCAACCGCCAAGCTAGAAGTGGCTCAGGACGGTAGAACCTCACCTTTTGGTGCAACTTGCCGATCATATCTGGAACCAACAGCGGATCGTGGCGGGGACTGGGACAGTCCGTAGTATCCGGCAGGCCTAGCTGTTTGTGACCGTGAAAATTGGGCCGGATGTACATGGATATCTCCTGGGTCTTGGTAGTGGTAAGAGTTACTGGACGGTCACCGCTGGCTGCCCCTCGTAAAGGATAAAGAATCGTGGGCAGGTCGCGAAAGCCGTATTCAACCCATTGGCCAATAACTCGGGGATCCCAGCGCCTCCAGACCTTAAGAGAAATCTTAGCTGCCACAGAACGTGAAGGCCATGAATCCTTTCGCCTGGCGGCTGCAGCGATCCAACTGCCGCTCGCACCGTCCTCCATGTCATGGATAAACGGTTCGATGAGAATAAGTGACGTAAATAGGCGAGCGTGGATTAGGGATAAGAAGATTCTGAGTACCTCAATCAGTGAAGGCCATTCCTTAAGAACTCATGAGGGGTCCGCATCACCTACTGTTGGACTGCACCGATGCTGTGGCCGAGCCCGATGATGGGCTGCGCCATCTCTGTGCGGAAATGGTTGATCATGTGTAGCATATCACGACTGTTGTCGTACCAGGAAGCTAGTTTGCATCAGATACTCTGATTTCTATAGAGTATTGCCAACGTTTTCCAAGGACACCACTCACCATCATTACCTAAATGGCTCTCATTTTGAATGCCACTGGCCCCCTGGTTGACGGCGTCAGCGATCCAAATGGCGCGGATCCGGAAGCCATCCTGCTCACTTCTTGCGACAAGCTCCTCCCATAGTGGCTCATAAACTTCCTAGTTATTCCATGGCCTATTAATCCGTTGCTTCTGGGGTACGTGGTGGCTCCTGGCTACGAACCTTCGGAAATCCGGTTCCGTGAACCGCGATCAAGGTTATATCACCTGGGTTGGGATTTTGGTTGTCGATAGGGGTATACTTCTTTACTGAGAGCTTTAAAGGTGCATCTTGGGTAGTAGTTGCTCGTGGATATTCTCGAATATATTGCGCATCAATCAGGTGTTCCGTCACAATAAAGGGCGAATTGGACATGATGTGACTTTGTTCAACTTGACTCGGCGGCTCTTGGGCTGAAATACAAAAAAAAAGGAGAACGTACAATGCACTACCACAGACAGATATACTCTCAGCACCATCGATGTCTGCCTTCGACCGGTGTTGTTCGGAGGGGTCCGCAACAGCAAATGTCGGGTTCACTCTTTCGCTCGGCGTGCCTCCGGAAAAGGAATCCGAGGAAGTGGTTGGGATTACCGGTGGAGTATACATTTCCAAGGATCTGTGTGGGTCCCCACCAAACACTCGATTGCAATATTCCACGTAGTTTGTAGTATCATGACTCGTGCTAGCTACGGTGGGCCCCGAATGCTATCGTAAAAGTTTCGAACGCTGGTGATATCACCAGTCACGTGGCAGATGGAAAGCTGATATCGATCATTCTGTTTTGGGTTGAATTGTCTAGTTGTATCTTCTTTGAAGAGGTGGGATGCTTGGGAGTCCCATATATTCGATATACGCCCTAGAGCTCTCTTCTTTTAAACTGCGCAATGGTACCCTGCGAGGGAGTTGCCGTCGAGTATCCCTTAAAATGATATTCACATCTCTTCCCCGTAGTGTTAGCCGCACAGCAGGGCGCCCTCGGCGCGAGTCGCATATCATACAGGAATATAATCCGTGCAAGGCCTACGTTGATATCCATCCAGGCCAATCTTCGTCCAATGCATGACCTGGGGCCAAGGCCGAACGGACAGAACACCTGCCGTGCCATACGAACACTCTGTTCATCGGCACCCGACTCGGGATCCACAATCCACCTTTGCGGCCAGAATGCGTCCGGTTGTTTAAAATACTCTTTTTTGCGCAGGAGGACATACAGCGAGGAAGCGACAGTCACTCCTTCAGGGATGTGTCGGCCATCTACCGTGAGGCCACCAGCAAGTACGCGACGTGGAGAACCGTTTGGCACGCCTGGGGTCAGTCTCATGGTCTCGTTCACACAGGCTTGTAGAAAATGGCATGAGTTCAATTTGGGACCGGCACGAATCTCATCCTCGTGATCGAAGGTGCCACGAACTTCGGCAGTGACACGAGAGAGGGCATCATGATGGTGCAGGATGTAAAAGAACAGCGCACTCATGGTCGTGGATGTAGTATCAGTACCTAGAAGCCAGTCGACTTGGTTAGAACCTGCGTGTTCGGAATAAGTCTGGAGGCAAGCCCACCTGCTCCTAATAGCACCATGGATTCGGTCCAAAGATCTTTCATGGTATACCCTTCGTTGCTTGCCTGGTCCCTAGATGTTGTCATAATAGAGAAGACGTCCTTTCTTTCAACCTTATCGCCCATATGCGCACGATCTTTGACGCGGTTGTATACCCAGCTGCCGGCAGATATGATGTCTCTATATAATGGGAAAAGGAAGATTCGATCTAACTTGAATTTGTAGATCTTGGGTTGCATGAGACACTGAAGGGGTTAGTACTTGAAACCAAGGAGGGTAGAGAATGACCACAGTAATGTAGGGGATGTGTCATACCATCACGCCTCGATGAGACATCTTTGTGTACACTGGTCGGACCCATCGCTTCTGAGGTGAGTCCAGCATCCCAAAACTACTTCCATATGTGATATCACCAATGAGATCGAAAGCAAACCAGTCGAAGACGGTTGCCACGTCTATCGATGATGACCAGCCGTTAGGCAACGATTCAGTATCGTTAGGGAACAGATGTGTAGTCAGACTGTTGATATGTGCAATAACCGTTTCCTCGATTTCGCTTAAGCCCTGGTCGGAGAATGCCGATTTCAGTGTCCGACGTTTAAAGGCATGGACCCTTTTGTTAACTGCACTCAGAATGTTTGGACTGTGGCGGCTAGCGCTGTAGACTTCCCATGCGTCAACCTTACCAACATTGACTCCTCCCGTGTTGTAAATATCGGAGTACATAGAGTGGGAGTTGAACCATAGGGTGTTGGGTCCGGATCTGACGATTTCGCCTGAGTCAATGGTTAGGGATCATCATTGCTGGGGACATGGTAGCGCTCTGGTTGCCTCACCGTATTTGTCATGCCATGCTCGATTTTGCAGGTGGAGATCGCCCCTCCATGCATAGAAAGCAGTATACCAGTTTGTGACTGCCGCGAATTTTGGTCCAGGGTATTGAGACAGAGGGTGAAAGAACAGGCGGTATATCGACAGCCAGAGAATCTTCACATCGGGAGCCCAGTTAGCATTGGCAATGATTAAGAATCTACTGGGTTCTACGCACGTAAGTTATCGCTGCACCGGCGAGGATAGCGAAGAGATAGGAATTCATTGTCACAGTCACTGTCTATTCATGTAGGGAACGCTTAATGGGATAGATATATCACATATCAAATAACTGGTGGGAAAGTAATGGTAACGTGAGAAGCGTCAAGGATTAATTTTTAGGCGTAACCATCACAAATTTATCTTTACAGTCAGAGATTGACCTATCCAATCTTTGCTGTCTATCTATACACAGAGCAGCTAATGCTGATGTCACTCCCTGTATTCTTGGTGAGGATCTAGATCAGTTAGACATCTCTCGCTCCGTGTGAATGGGGTCCACTACTATGAGTACTTCCTCCCTCTCACGTAGGTTATGTCGTGACCTTCGTTGCGCAAGTGTCGCCCATACGCTCATTGCTACTTTGGTTCAGTTGGTACCGATCGACGGATCCACGGTAGGAACGGGTTGGGGGAGATCGGCATTACCGAAGGGATGTATAACTAACTGGTGGGCCTAGACTTAAACTACTCGAGAATGATAGGGACTACGTCTGGTCGAAGACCGAGAACCTACGAGAAACCATAACCTAATTTACCATACATAACCATGTAAGCCCAAAGTTAGATAAGACCTTAGGTCGAAATCTTGGATGCTATAGTTTTAACTTTCGAAGGCACTCGAGCTGGGCCATGGTTGGGTATATCTTGGGTTCTGCGTGGGGCGTGCCTACTGTTACATCCGTCCATGCTTAGGCCCACCAGCACAATGAGTGATGATAGAATGGCACATCCAGAAGGAGCAGCGTCTAGAAGTACCATTACATGCCATGTGAGATATAGCGAGAATTCAAGTGTCATCGTCATCCCCATATCTCTATGCAACCCTGTGGCAATACCAGGCCCGTATGTATCTGACGCGGCTTGTTCGATTCGTAGCAACGCATCGAATCAAAGATGGTCGGTTATATTAGGCAGGTTAATGTAAATGGCCCTCTTCAATATGATGGCAATTGGGGCTGGGCTGCAGTCAACCATAAAGCTTAGCACACTTCCTGTTACAAGGGTGAGAGGAACCCTTTGTTGCCAAGGTTTCTTGATCTGCTATCCTGAAAATTCTTAGCATTTGACTTCAAGTTCGAACGAGGAGGGAATTGAATATGAGATAGTCTCCTGAACTACTATACATAATTTCTTTCAACCTTTGATTTCCCTTATATACGTTCTATCTCTTACAGCCCATTATAGTGGAATCTTACACGGAAATCTGCAACTGTGTTCCTCATCACGATGGATGATCCAGAAGGAGTTCGCAGGCCGTCCTCTATCTGTGGCCTTGACGATGACGTGAATGTCGCCTGCGATACCGAAAAATATGATCGCACGAGCATCTCCAACTTGAATGAACAGAGGCTCCACGTTGACCAGGACTGCCCAGAGCACGATGCTCGCGGCTGGAAGCCAGCGTACAAGCTAGCCATATCTCTTGGTGCGATTGCGTCTTATTTTTCAGTGTAAGTCATTGAAATATGTATAGACTGTCTGTCAACTCTATGGGCAAACGCTGACTCGAAAACCCCTGTCTAATGAAACAGCACCCTTGCTACTTCGATATATATTGCCAGTATACCGGGGATCATGGATGAGTTTGGCACTAGCCTAACTTTGACGATTTCCCCCATAACCTTCTATGCAATGGGATTTGTAATAGGTCCCATGTGCTCATCTGCATTCTCGGAAGAGTTCGGCAGACAATATATCTACAAAGTCTCTCTGCTTCTGCACATCGTCTTTACTATTGTTGGTGGATCGGCCCAGAACTTTCGGACATTGGCAGTTGCTCGTGCGGTATGTGGCATAGCTGGTTCCCCATGTGTGACCGTCTTCGCTGGGGTATTGAATGATTTGTGGGTGCCAACGGACAAGGCAGGGGGGGCTCTTTTCGCGGTATATGGCATTATGGGGGCAGTCGCCAGCGAGATTGGGCCCGTTGCAGGGGAGGCAATTGTTGCTGATCGTGACTGGCGCTGGAGCTTCTGGCTTACGGCGATTCTTGTTGGGGCCTGCTTCCTGGTTATGGTATGGGTACCTGAGACATATGAGCCTGAGATTCGAAGAAAGCACCTGAAGCTACCGCGCCGGAAGTTTCAGAGGGTTTTAGTCCCTGCGTTTGTGCGACCGGTGAAGATGCTTTTGGTAGAGCCTATTATCCTTCCCACGGCAGCTATTGTCACAATGGGTCAGGTCGTTGTCTTCGTGTTCTATGCAAGCTATCCCCTCATCCTATCGCGCGAGTATAACTTCTCGCCGTACCAGGTCGGCTTAGCATTCCTACCCTTAATGATCGGTAGCCTGCTGGCACTACCCGTGTTGTCGATGACGATGAAACGAAGGCAAACGTGCTCGAATCCACAACCAGAAGACACGATGAATGCCGCAATGATAGCGGGAATCTTGTTACCTGTTAGCTTATTCTGGTATGTGATAGTTTGCTGAAAATGGCTACAGAGGATTAATATGGAGAAATAGGCTCGCATGGACGGCACGTTCTAGCATCCATTGGATATGTCCACTTATTGCCGGAGCTCTGTATGGGTTGGCATTTGCTTTATCCCAGGTACGTGCTGAATGTAATTACTATGAGCATCATACTAAGACTCAATGCGAGTAGCTTGTTTACCCGTTGTACAAGAACGAGGTCTATGGGGCTGAACTAGGCGCCTCTGCATTTGCAATCGACGTCGCTATGCGCTACACATTTTCATGTGTCTGCCCCCTTTTCACTGTTCAGATGGTCGACAGGATCACCTTTGGATGGACCATATCACTCTGCGCATTTATCTTGCTGGCACTAGTACCCGTACCTTTGATACTTAAAAGGTATGGCCCAACATTAAGAGCGAAAAGCCGGTACGTGAGAAAGAAGGGCTTGGACACCGAGCACAACATGATGGGTGAATCTTCCTAAATTGGAGGGTCAGAAGGTCTGAAGATAGTCGAAGACTAAGAGTATAATATTATAGAATATTTTTAAGGATCTTACATAAAATGCTCGAATGCTAATGTTACGTGAAAATGGGTTATGTGTTATGACATTATATGCCCCCTTCATAAGTAGCAAATACACTGTAAGTTTTAATGTATGGCGTTCAAAAGTTCCACAGTTAATCTGTATATTCAAAGGCTCATCATAAAGTCGTTTGATAGGCCCTAGGAAATACAACACTGATCTAAAGCCTTGAATATAAGCAGGACTACGCCGTCGGATATACTGGGGCTGTTATACTTCAGATAAATTGATCAGCTTGATATTAGGGCGATCTGTTCAGCTTCCATGGCAAGATGCGTTGGTGGAATTGATTGAAATCCTCCCGTACGTGCAGCCTTGTTTCTGGGAACTCTTCAGCATCACTGATCTCGACAGTGACTTCCCACAGATCAGTCAATGGCTTCCAGCAGGGCATTCGAACGATCCAAGTGGCATCGCCAGTCCACCAGGGTTGATAGCATGTTTTCAAGAGCAGATACGCTTGTCTAACATTGTAAAGCGTCTTTTGTCAGAACTGGCTTCCTTGAAAGATATTGCAGACAAAAAGCGTCAACACAGAGATGGAACCGTATGCAGTATATTTCAGTGTTTCCTATAGTTGACATGGGTATTCACCGTTGTCACGGTCATATTACTATATACGAACTGGCCCTGATCCGCCACATGGAGCTGTTCGTGTGCTGTGGCCATCTATACTTCGGATGGCATATTGACGATTGTCAAAGGATGTTGTGTTTTCAATCCCAGCCTATAACTCAGATGAATGGTAGAAGAATGCAGTATACCTGAGTGACCTGCGGTTACCCTTCTTACACCCAGTCTGATTGTAGCTGAATCTGCCGTAGCTAGAGGTCATGAGCATCCTAGTATTTTTTGTATATAGTCCCGCTCCCGCTCTGCAAAAGATTCACTATTTATAAATACCCCTGCACCTGGGCCAGGGCCATGGCCTATTATTCTCTCGCAGTTTTCTATTGAGCAGTCAGGGCAGCTTTCATCCGCTCCTTCGTCTTTTCAAGGTTGGTATGAGGTAGCCGCTAGAGAAGAGGCCAAGTATCAGGAGCGTACCGGCCAATTTCACTGCCCAATACCTTGTGAAAGCTACTAGAGCTGGTCATGGTAAGTCTATCGGGGCGAATCCCATCAAATCTACTCCAGCTGACCAACTAGGCTGTATACTGAGCCACACCCGCAGATGAGGTCCGAGTGGGCTAGGATTGGAAGGTCTCCTAGGTAACTCCTCTCCGGATCAACTCGTAAAACCTGTGGATGATCCGACCGGTACAGCATCTAGAGCGTCCAACACAAAAGCAGTCTACCTTTGGTGGCCAACCGGTCAACCATCCCCATGTTATACCGGGGCCTGTGGGGTAGTACGGTGCGCATTGAAAGTGACCATAAGCGTGCCGCAGCTCTTGAGGTTTTCACAATACTATACTCCCTATTTCATCCCGTCATACCTGTCCTACGCATAGAGGCGCATGTTGAACCCTATATATGGGTTACAGGAAAGTAAAAGACCCCCTTCATTCACTCAGGACGTGCTTTGATATTTGACTATCAATCGTCCTCTACCGATTCCTGCTTTCAGCTTCAAAGATACTGCGCAAACACTTGTTGAGACCTCTCACCCCAGTCATCCGGCATCAAGCCCAGGGGTGCTACCCCGTGATTATTCGGAACATGAGGGTGAGCTCCTCGTTTCAATAGCGCTGTGACCAGAAAAGGTTGCAGGCTATCGAAGGCCAAGTGAAGCGGCGTGTTCCTGTCCTTGCCAGCCTCTGAGAGTGCTTCCGGGCGGACATCAATTACAAACTCTGCGGCATCGATGTTATGGTGCACTTCGCCGTCGAAGTGATCAAATGTATTTCCAGCAATGCAGTGCAGGATATTGTTATTTTCACGCCGGGCCGCGAAGGAAACCCCTCTGGCAAACAGTTGCTGAAGTAATAATCTATTTCCTCGCCACGACGCAGTGCGGAACAGAATCTCCTCGCCTACTCGGGGTATATCGAGTTGGTCTAGTAGCTGCGATATTGTCTCGGGAGACGTGGAGAATGCCAGGCACAGAACACAGCGGTCGAAGTCCCTTGCTTCCACTCCAAAGTCTGTTGGCAGCCCCTGGGACGGAGGAGGATACAAGGAACCGTCACAATATTTGCTACAGAGATCCGTTACCTGGCTGGCTAACAGGTCCACCGTCGGGAATAACATGTCGGATGATGTAGTGAGATCTGTCCTGATAAATGGTGTCTGTATTATCCCGGAAACCGAATTTGGAGACCACTTACTACATAGCTATCCCAACCACACCTATTGGGATATACCGCTGCTGGATGTTAACCGCCTACGCATGTGTCTATACGAATACGGAGGATAATCAACCAAAATCAACCAAGTCTCCTTCTCTTTCAGGCTGTGATGTTTGCAGGGGTTTGCCCCACAGATTCTCTTCAGCCCTCTTAGCGGCGTTTCGTGACGATGAGAGAAGTGCGAGAGATTTTCTATAATTGGGTGAAAACTGTGTACGAGGCTGATTATGAGACGGACGGCATCTCTGGCAGTGGGACAGATGCATGCCACTGGGTGGGCCACAGTCTGTACCGTGGCACAGCGATCGGGCTTCAGTATAACACAATACAATCTGATATACAACTCTATTCTTAAGGAATACACAAGCACCTCTAGTGGTGTATGTACATTCGGGATAAATTGATTGCGTTGGGGTCAAGGCGTTCTATGTGTATCTACGAAAACGCGCATACCCTGCCCATGCCGGCACAGCCTGACTTTAATATACGTGAGACCTCCTGGAGGCCCACGATAGAAGGCAGCCATTGAACGTAGGGTTAGAGTCCAGGTTGAACACTTGGCGCAGCCACTCTGCCTAAAACAAAGCTTTGTGTTATCCTTGGTCGAATATTGAAGTCCCGGTACCTTCTGCTCAACAACAGCCCAGGCGCCGCCATTGGGACCGAAGCCGTATACTATCCCAACCCAAACACATCCACAAACTCAGAGCTTTGGCAGTGTGACAGAGCTGGAGTACTGGCGACCCATTTTCAAAAGTTTCCTGCAGGCTACCCCGGAAAATATTGCGCCAGATATTGCTTATGTGAATCAGGGGTTTGCTGGGTTTCATATTTTGTTTTTTGACGGTGTGGCCTTGCACCGGCCCCTTGCACAATATTCCTGCAAATGGTCTTTATCGAAATCAGCGAGCGAGATATATTCCTTAAAAAAGGTGGAAAGCGCATCTTGCCAGGTTATCTGTATCCTGAAGAATCTCCAGGGACGAAGGCTTGCGTCGAACATGAACGGGGTTGGTGCGGAAGCGCTGCTGCCTGCGATTATCTTTCATCTTATTCGAGTTATCGTCACTTCGAGACAGGGAAATTAATACTGGGCGAATGGCAAAACCGGTACCCGTTTGCGGAATGCTCGCGCGGCATACATTGTGAGACGAACCACCCCATCATGTCAACCCTGCCTGACCCCTTTCACGGATTTTCCGTCTTGGGGCCTTTGGTCTTTTTGGCTGACTCCCTCGATGTTCAATCTAAAACATGTGTTCTATATGATCTCCTGAGGCGACTACGCCGATGCTTAGATCATGCAGAATGAAGTTGCGAACCACTTCGCGTTTTGCGATTCGATTGCCGGGTCCCTTCACTGATCTTCTAGCGAACTTATAAAGAATCCAAGGACATGACGACCATCCTAAGAGATATGAGCCGAGCACCAACCTTAAATGGAGCCGCGTCTGGCATCAGTGCCCAGCTCATGGCTACTTGACTTGCGATCAAGTAAGGATCGGGGAGAAACATTGGACCAGGACTTGAACTTTGCGATTTGTCTCTCCGCAAACATCTCAGCCTCGATTCCCTGATTCTGAATATCATTCATGCACTGTTGCGCTTGTTCTTCTATCTCATGTATGTGCTTCTGCGCTTCTTCTTTCATTTCCTTCATACATTCATTGGCCATCGTGCGTACCTCGGAGTTCCCATCGTCGACCTGCTCGCGAAATTCGGCCTCGTTCATTTTGCATTCGTCGAAGAACTGGTCACGAGACTTGCTCACAGCACTCTCGACAATCTCATCGACAATCGGTGATATGTGGCGCTTAATTATCTTATCGATATATCGTTCCAGGCGGCGGCGTTTGATCAGCTCGCCCTTGGCAAAGCTGACTTTGGCAGACGCAGACGCAGATGGCAGGCCACTGTCTACATCATTTGGCATGGCTAGCAGATGGGCGTGTCCTGATGCAATTAATACTTCGCGAGCCTGGTCTTCTGACAAACTACTGAACTCATGTACAAGGCCCGCCAGTCTATTACGCTCTGTGCGGCCAGGAGAGAGAGCACGCGTGAAGCAGGTTGGGCGGATTAAGGATGGGGACGGAGGGGATAGGCGGAGAGTTCTCGGTGTATCGGGCTCAGTGGGAGAGCCTAATGATGCAGGGGATGAAAGGAGCGCTATTTTTCGTGGTTTATTGTCAAGTGGCATTGAATCTAGGGATTACTAATGAGCTATTGAATGCCAACATACATAAGAGTATAAGAAGATGAGACAATACCTCTACGCCGTTTTCTAACCACCTGCTCGGACACGGACTCCTCGCAATATGGGGGTGGACCCACCTGCTTCACCTGTTCCGACACGGCTTCCTGACAATATGGGGGTGGATCAGACGCCAGACCGAAGACATGCCAATCTCTCTGGACCATGCGATGGCGAGCGTGGTCAAAAGGCTCTGCCTCAAGACTTCTTCCTCGCAGGGCCTGGGAGAAACTTTCGAGCTTATTAAGTTCTTTATTCACACATTGTCGTCTGGCAAAGTGTATACGGAGAGATTCGGATCGACAGATCTTTGCAAACGAGTGGAAATTTAAGTTTCCTGGTGTGGTTGGACTGAGAGACTCCGTCTCAGATGGACAAAAAACAATGCCGATCGTACTGAGGGTCAAACACAGTGTTGAGACGGCCGAAACATTGGTGACAAGTGCCGGGATCGTGGGAACCAAACTAGGTGAACAGAGGCCGTCGTTGCTAGTCTTGTGTAATGTACATTTTGCGACTCTTTCTGGGGGAATATTCAACCTCACCTGTGCTCTGACGCGAGGGTTAGCGAGATCTGCCGTAATCGAAAGGGTGATAGATCCCCGGCCGGCAGTTTTATCATGGAAAATACGAAGGCTAGCCCGACACGACACATCGAGATCGGGCGAATGAACAATAACTGCTTTGTTGAATACCCAGGGCAGGTTTTGCGATGGGGTGGTCATTGTGTTCTTGAAATTCGTTGGATTAAAAAGTAGAACCCTCGATGAATCGAGTATCCCTCCCACCCGGGCTTTGGAATAGCGTTGAGCAGCCCTGACTCGGGTAATATGGCGGATCCAGAATGATGATAATAACAAGAAGATGAGAGTAAAGTGGTACAAGCTCTTGCGGCCTGGTCACGGGTGCGTGCCCAATTCGAAGTCAACAAGTGAAATCGGAGAGTCCTATGAACACACAGGAATGGCAGGACTGGCGACGAGGGCGGCAAAGAGCAAATACTTCCTTTACGGGGTGATTCTGATGTCGCAGGGAGGAAGATGATGAAGAAACGGCCAGCGGGAATGGAAGGACGCGGCTGGGGCTTGGCACGCTGACCACGTGATGGGATACGCCGGGTGGGAACCGGATTTACGTATGTCCCTTCCGTCCACACCCGATCAACAACACCCTAATTCAGAGGGATAACATCCAATCGACTGTCCGGTCGGCTGCATCCGCAAGGCCCACGATGCTGAGACTGAGGATGGAAGTGGTTCTTTCCATCGGCCGGGAATTCGTCTCCCCTGCGTGCGATGTCAGAGCAGCGTTAACCAAAAATTCAAGGAGAGCTGCATCACGCTGAGCTATGTGAATGTCGTCAGGTGGACTCTCCTGTGTCGTATCAATGGCGTTGAGGATGAACCGAATGCGTGGTGTCGTCCGTAAACTGTGAGAACGATGAGCCAATGCGGGTTTCACGTTCGAACACATGAGTGGCAGGACCACGACCGCAAAGTCGAATATATTAGTAGTATTCAATATCCATACAGACAGACAGTATTACCTCCGTTGCCCATGGGATGGAAGTGTCTTGATCCGGATGTCTTTCAACCTGGATAGCTGTAGGCTACCATAGGTAATGAAATGGGCTGCGAGATCAGCGTTATGGCTTGTTCAGCATTCCTAGGGTTAGCAAAACCCACAACAATTAACCTCAAGCAACAAGATCTCAGAAACATGTAGGCAAATCCCGCGCCCTTCTCATTTAGTCTGGCTGAACACCTGCTTCAGATCCCGTTCAATTAGCCCCTTCCAACGCGGGGTTGCAGCAATGTCCTCATCGGACGGGAGCCAGATGTGCCCGGTTGGGTCTTGCAGATTCGCGTCAGATAGAAGTATGGGAGAGAGATCCAAGAGAGGGTACTGTGACCCACCTGGCTCTCGTGGGAGACGATCTCGGTAAGCAAGCCGGCCCTAATAGAGATTCCCGAGTCGTCGTGGTCCTGTAGCTCGTTTTTCACCCGCCGGAGGAGCTTTCTGGGTGCTTTACGCTCTGGGTTGGATAGACTAGGTTTATTGATGGCAGTGTGCTGCAATATAAAGGTAGTCATTATAGGCAAAGGCCTTCTAGAACCAATATGGGAGACATACCTCAACCTCATCGAAGAGCATCGTTGATCCTTCTATATGACTAGGAAGAGTACACGACTCGTCAAATCTCCGCAATGATTTCGATCTTGTTTTAGGGGGGGGGGTTGTCATACACCCACTGAAAGAGTTGTGGACACCCTTCGTTCGTCTTGTCTGTTGTGGCTATCAAGTCTGCCGTGTTCCCCTTCCAAGATATTGACTCGTGGACATATTACACCGTAGAAATGTCTGGTAAAGGGGCCTCTTCTGCAGCTAACTCAACATTGAGCTTTGCATGATAGAGTGCACTGCTATCGACAAAAGGATCTCCAGAAGGCAAGGAAGACAACGGAAAGTGGAACCGGTATATGTCAACACGACCTATATCATCTCGTTCTTCCGCAGCGTTATAGTCTCCGGGAACCGCCAACTCACTTGAATAATGAGCTGTAAAATCCACAATGAGCTCATAATCGGCCTTTTCCCTGAGTACGAGTACATGAATATTGCCACGGCCCTCTTCGAAGGCTTCTCTGATTCTTTGCAAGAGTTGGCCCTAGGGTACAACAGGTATCCCTATTTTGACATCCCCTTCTTCAGTCATTACTATAACTGTAGTAAAACTTAGCCCGGCATCGAATACTATAGGAAACAGCCCCCCAGTGGCGCCTTTATCACCGACTATGTCGAGTATTCGATACGTGTAGTAAACTGGCCCCAGAATTATTTGTACCGTCACATTGCAGATGGGCTTAATACGAACGAGGAATTTTCCAATATCTCGCGAGTGAAGAGGTCAACTCTGTCTGGCGGTTGACAGATATCCTAACGACCTGGCAGGGCCGCGCCTTGATGATCACGACATCCCCGAGATGGATGAAGTGACAAGGTATCCGAACCATCTGATTATTCCTTTGAGTGACTCCCCACGTGTTGTCTGCGAGGCACTCTTCTTCCCCATCCATGCCAGTTTTATCCTGATGTCCTGCGCTCTGGGCCAACATTGTATTTGTGGCGCGCCGGCTAAGGGGTTGTTGTGTAGCTGATAGGGAGATCAATTAAAAACCGTCTATGTGGATTCAGGATAGGATAATTCGCTTACTATGTTGGCTGCCAGAAGCCATGTGTTCTGTGAGTGGAGAAGAAAGTCTGTGTACGGGGGAATGTATAGACCTTCGAGTGCATTTGCGGCGATCATAGTTTAAAAGACTTTCTTGAAAAATAATAAATGAGGATATATCAGCCTGTGCTTGCGATGCATTAGTCGCTGTGCATTCGGTTGCATACTTGCGACTGTGTAGGACCTATACTCTAGTATGCACATGGGACCTCTGGGTTTGAAGTGGGAATAGGGCATCTATGCTGGCTCATTTTGGTGTTCCCGGGACCTAGGTGAATCTGTTACCCGGACTATGTGGGAATATATCTACATTGCGTTTATCTCTCTCTGTCAACTATGGAGGCGTGCTTCAAAAGTTATCGAACTATACTTCGAGTGGCATAACTCAACTGTTGTAATCTCGCTATAATTTAGCCTGACTAGGATTAGTTAGTTAGATTAAAATATAAATCTTCTTAGTTCATCTAGATATAGATAAATTAAGATCCAGACAGGGACAACCAGTTGGAGCTTAACATCTGCCATAAGCATTCGCGGAGGGCGGGGCCTGACTCCAGAGACGGGGGAGTGTCCTTGCCCACCACCATGAAGCCATAAACATACTTGACGGGATACGGGAGAAGGGGAATGACCCGAGCCATCTAACAATTTAACAGCGGGGAATTCAAGCTCACAAGGACGCTCAGTAGACCTATTTGCGACGCATCGACGCACCGACGACCGGAGAGCAAACGGCAAGATCAAACCCCTTCCCATAAATTATTTGCGGTTGATAATGTCGTGTATACTGTTGTAGATTGCCATCTCCCCAAAACCTCTCCAATCCTACCTGTCAACCTGATAAGCCCTGGTCGGTGTATTTCTGCCGAGTGCAAAGATGCCTTTAACCATCACGCTTTCATATATCCGCGTATAGGCAAGCTGGGGTAGAGACATATGACTGCACGTCATCTATTATATTGACGAGGATGTTTCATAGGATGAAAACTTATTTCAGCTATCCCACGGGATTTCTTGTGCCTGGCTACTGTAGGAAAGACAAGAAGATAAATTGACAGACAAGCCGCCCACCGATCGACGGCTTCTGCAGCTAGTTGGCTCCGACTCATATATGGATCCATCCGTGAGAAAACTATACCTTGATTGGTCTGAGCCTTTACGAGCAGTACTAAGGAGGCAAAAGTAAAAGAATGACATGGGATGATGATTGGCCTCAGTTGCCCGGTCGTATGTCGACGGATCTAGAACTGGCTGTCGCAGCCTAGGCGATGTAGGTGGTGGTTGAGCCCTTGTGGATATCTTCAGCAGCAGGTTGACTCGGATGCACGAACCGCGAATGAGGCGCCTGCAGGCTGAGATGGGCTGCGCAGAGACCCCTGCGGCCCATTCAGGTGGTCGAGCGAGAAACAAGTGTGCGAGAAATCCCAGGCACATCAAACTCCGTGCCTGCCAGAGACGTGAGAATTGAACGTGAGCCATGAAATTGAAGGTCTTCTTTGTCTCCCAGCCTCTCCTGACGGGCCGCAACGCCCCTTTTCGCCGAGACATTCAGAAAATTATGCAGTTCCGAACCAAGAATTCAGAGAGACTGAAATTATATGACGTCAAGGGTTGGGAGACCGTAGAGCAGAAACTGCTTGATAGCCCGAATCGTAGGACTATCCCTCCCTCCTCATTAACATGAGTGACAAGGAGCTTGAGCTCCTTCGGTCCATTTTTTCTCTGTGCGCTTTCACCCAGGGATAAAGTTGGACCTGTGTAATTGTTACACTATCAAGCGAATCACCTCGAATTTTTGGTCGTTTTTCTGATTGGGAGGTGTACATTAAAGCCCCGGACGGGGGACCAGTCCGCAATAGTCTCAACGGATTTGAGAGTATCCAAGAGATAATTGTCATCTCTGTTGTTGACCACTTCGGCCACCTTCTGTATGCGTTTTTGATTCTCTCTGGCCATTTCTACCTTGAGAGACTCCAGTGTGAGAGACGCAGCTAAATTCGAGTTTGCCCAGCCTTCGCAATGCGGCCAGGCCAGGAGAGACCGGATTGCGCGCAGGCGAACACGGTAGTCGGGACAACTGGAGGCCACGATAAAAAGTCCGGGTATGACCCCTCCATCGAGTGTCATCGTTGGACGGGCTGAGAGCTTGTTCACCAAGCTTCAACTGCCGAGACTAAGGTGATATACTCCGGTATAAAAGCTTCTGGGACAGCGCTGCGTAGAAGGCAGATTTTAAGCGGGAGAGTCTGAGAGAAGCACTGGATTCGGACTAGGTCCGCTTTTCGCTTCTCTCTTTCATTAAGGTCTCTATATGAGTGTTTGCAGAATAGTTCGAACCGGTGCATGAATGCATGATAACGGGAGAGGAGTTTCAACTGAGTAAAAGATAACGCCGCATATTCCTGTATAATTTGTTGTGGTGATAATCTCCAGCACTGAGCCAGGAAAGGAATGCCAGCATTTAACAAGTGGCTTAGAACATCCTGCACTTCTGTAAAAGTCGAGAATGCTACAGTCGAACTTGAATCGAGTAGTTTATCATCCAGGCCAATGTCTGTATGGAGTTGTGGCCGACCACCACCGAAGTGAGAAGCTTGGGCATCCAGACGGGTAAATTCAGCCGCCAGGAAATGCTCAACAGGGGTTTCTAGAGATCGGTTTGCCTTGAATTCTTTCAAGACCCTTAGTCCACTGTTTAGATGTTTGATTGCGCTCTCGTAGTGTCCCCATAAGATTTCGGATATGATATAAACCAAGCAGCACAGTAGCAGAACTTGATACAATTGAGGATCATGAGATTTGCTTCGTTTGTTTAACAAGGAAAAGGACCGCGACGATTGATCTAGCGCGAACCTATGACGCATACGGTAGAGATTCGCACCGGTCAGACGCATTCCATTCTCCTCGGACTCTTGATGGATAGCGCCCAGCATAATCACTGCGTGGTACGCGGCTTGCTCCGCGTGGCTCATCTGGAGAACCAACTGTTGCCATAGAGGTGAATCCGAGAGCCCAACGAGACTCGGGATAGAATGATGCTGGAAGTAGGAAAAGAAATGTCTCTCCTCTACCGTTGTTATCCAGCCAAAATGAGTTCCAAATTGCTGCGGGCATGGAAACCTCTTGCTCTGGACCCCCAGCCGGTGCAGGTCGTACCCATCACATTTTCGCCCCGTGGAGGTGCAGTTTTGGCACAGCCCTGGGCTTTCGTCGCATTTCACATGGCGAGCTCTACCAACAATTAGCCAAGGCATCATATAATCGTCACCCCAGTTACATTGCCATACTCACCGACAGGTTCGGCATCCTGTAGTTGATCTTTTCCCAGAAGCTCTACGTTGTTTCCGAAGAGTTAAAGCATATAGCTGGCCCATTGTGCAACAATCGAAAGTGAGTACTGATCGTGGGGAACTAGATATGCTGTGCTGTGCCGTGTGGAAGAGAGAAGAGGCTCGGCTGGTCCGTCAGGTTACAAGACAGCCTAATGATTCGACTACTAGTTAACTAGCTAGTAACCAGGTTTAAGGCCTCCCATGACTAATCATTGCCCAGACTTCATCGGTAAACTGGGGCTGAGGCTCTCGGCTCGGCACGGCTCATCTGGGGCACCATCCGAAAAAATATATTCCAATTAATCATGCTCCGTGCAGATCTGGCACACAGAGGTAACTAAGTATTTCACTAGTGCTGATTTGGCTAGTTATCAATATCTATTGATTCTCGGAGCAATAATATGCAAATAGAGCTACCCGGCTCCACTTGCCGGTGGGTACTTTGTGAATCAAAACGATTGGCTTGAATGAGATGATTTTGGTGTACAGTAACATTTGTACCAGACAGCGGGGCTGTCACATGGAGCTTTCTCATTATATTCTTGGTTCCATTAAACCGTTGATTTGGTGGGTTGGTAGGTCTCATCTACCCTGAACCCTGGCCAAGACAGTGATATGCAAGCACCTTCAATCTTGTGTACCTCACTGCATATCGCAGGGGAAGACAGGGTATCGAAGAGAAGGACAGCATATGCAGGAACGAACTGTATCCAGGTCGCAAGATGGGATGCAGGATTCCAACAATAAGTCGTCGACACATGCCAGCGCTCAGCTAGACTCTTTAACACAACTCTTCCCAACAGTACGCGGAGTTTGACTTTAGTCCGTCGGCATCAGGGCATGTTCCCTGCAGTTGCGTAACCGTCGTCGCCATATAAGGAAAGGGATGAAAATTCAGCAACAAGCATCAGCAAATAAAGCTAGAACGCTCAAACATCGTACTGCAAATACAAAGATATAGGATAAAATAAGAAAGTGCCCTACCCCAATTTAGCTCCGTTCACGGGAAAGAGGTTAATTAATCCGCTCTTGGCATTCCGAAGTCGAGCACAATCTTATCCTTCATCCCCTGAATGCTTCACTAATCCCCATACTTTCCCAACCTCTGCAATGTCCACACCCCGCACACCATGGCCTCTTGTGCAGTTTGAGATGGCACGTCTGCCTGGTTAGGTGTTGGTGTCTCGTGATCTGGCCCGTGTTTGTATCGAGGTCAAGAGCCACCGTCCTTGTTTGAGCTGCATACAAGAATCACCTTTCACGCCAAATACATCTCCCACCCAGTGAGGCTATTTTAACGACAGTAATTGGTAATAGCTGGACTGACATAATCTACGAGTCAAACCGATACTTAGACTATGCGAGCGAACGTATAGTTCCTTTCTGGCCGGCTGAGAGAACCCCGCTACAGATGCCGACAGATGTAGGAAGACCTAGTACTGTAAGAAATGCATTTTGTCGGGGAGTTCGGTGGCTCACCGCCTTTAGTGCTTACGCGCAGGTGGAGATCCTACCTCATATTTCAATCGACAGCACCCTCGGCGAATTGGGTATGGTACTTCTCAACCTCATAGGATCCACTGTGTAGGAAACATCGGCTTTGACAGATAACTAGTACCTATCTTGTAGATGCCAACACAGTGACTCCCCTCTGCAACAACGGTAGCAAGTATTTCATCATCAGTCTTGCCTGTGCATGGACCTTGTGAAGAGTGAGGGTGATTATTAATGAGCAGAAGTCTCACTGGATGGATGAATAAATATGCGCCTCGGTGAAAAGTAGACAACTAGGCCACTTTTTTCTACGCGACAGGACCAATCCAAGCTTAGCACTATACCTTTACCCTAGCTGCCAAGCCAGTGGCTAAACAGTCTGGGTGAAAAATAGATCGCCACGGGATTTAGCTGATTCTTAGTCTAGGGCCAGTCGTGCTCCGAATATACTCGATGCTGGCTTGCCTCTGCGGCTTAATTACTTGTAAGGGTTTTACTCCAGATCGAGATCGACAGTTAATACTCCATATTCTTGTAACATTGCTAGAGGACGTAAGTAGTTTAAGTACGGCATATGGTATGATATGTTCAACGATTGAGCTATCACAATTCAGTTCCTATAAAATAGCCCAAATCACTTAGATCTCTCCTGTGACCTTCGCACAAAGTCATGAAGCGCATTTGCAGTAATTTCAGCAATATTGTTCTCATAATTCTTCCACGCCAAAGCCCCAACCCAGTTGATAGACCCCACAGCGAAGACGGCGCCCCCAGCCTGCGTCTCAAAGTATACTAAATCACTGCGCACCTTATCGCTCGTCGTTCCTAACGTATTAACCATTGGAAACAGAATCTCCTCGTTGAACAAGCCATAATTATCCGAATGACCACCCGCCAACTTCGTCGTCGCCACGATGATCGCGTTCTGTGGGGTTCCAAGCGAGTAATCCAGCCGGTCGATCTCGTCCCCAGACGCCGCGCCCTGCACTAGGCCAAAGTCGCCGATGACGGTCGTGGTAGGATCCCACAGTCGGGGACTGTCGAAAAGGAAGGATAATCTCGGATTCACTCGCACCTCGGGGACAATGCCGTATGCTGCTCCTTGACCCATGCCACACGCATCGGAGCCAAGACCACACAATCGATTCGGCGGGCGCCCGCGTGAACGCCAGAGGCCACCGATTTCGCCGGTCGATGCGAGATGCCAGTGTCCTGGAGGTAAATTGAAGGTGCGACAACCTTGGTCGGCCCGGCGGACTTCGATCTGGTGAGGATTTGAGGCCTGATGACCGGTGACCCAATAGTAGCCGTTGCCACCGAGGTACAGGAAAGAGCCGCCCTTGGCCAGGAAGGCGTCGTAGGTGTCGAGCATACTGTAAGTGGGGTATTCGGGATGGCTGCAGGAGAGGGCAACAGAATAGCGAAGTAGCAGCGAGTGGCCATAGATAGAGAGGTCGTGATCTGTAATGATATCGTAGTTGTCTCGGCCAAGCTCTTTATCGAGGAACCCGACATACCATAGGTCGGCCGGGAATTCACGTGGACCACCAAAGCCCCAGTGATAGTAGCTGATATACGTTAGGAGAACTGTAGAATGAAGGGGAAAAGAGAGGGGGATCTTACTCGGGCCTCATATTCACTACCACTCGCTTAGTAGAGGAATGTACCGCACCAGAACCATCGTTGTGGCTGTCATACAGCGAAATCCCTAGATCTGGACGATCCTCAAGGATATGAAGATGGCGACCTTTCGTCACCAAGTCTGACCCGGGTATGTCAATGTGCACGTCCCGCGAAGTGTCAAACATGCGATCATTGGCATACGCGGTGTAAGTGAAAGTTGGCATGATAAGGACAACCGGGGGATTGGTTGACCTGGACAGATCGGGTCGGACAAAGATTGGAATCACATCTTCGGTGTCCCCGTCCGAAATGACGACGCCATAGCATCCTGAATGTAGATCAGTGGGAAGCACTAGCTCAAAGTCCTTCTCCCACTCAGCGTCATCCACGTCGTCGTCATGGAAATGGATGGCACCGTACCCATAAGAGGCACGCGTCCAGTCCACCTCGTGAGCGTCCCAGTCATGGCTGGTCACGGCGCGGGTAGGGCTATTGACTATTATACCGTGTGTCGCATGAATGGAACGATCACGAAGCGACTTTGTGGGGATATCTTGGCTAAAATCAAGATCCAGGATGCACTGCGATCCTACCTCGACGCGGAACCCGTCGATCTTACCGTTGAAGCTACTCGACGACATGGGCTTTGGCGCTACTCTCTCACCACTGGTGTGGCTGGCAATCGTCAGACATTGCGAGGACTTCAACTCCATGGGCTTCACCCGCTGGCTTTCAGTTTGTGTGGTTGGTGCTAGCCCAACATCGTCGGGCTTGCTTCGCACATCGGCGCTGACAGAGTTCGACACCGGATCCCAGGTTAATAACAAATAATACCACATCCAGCGCTCTAGACGAACTGACAGAGGTATAGTCTGAACCCCATCCGCCGCTCCAGTGAGCAGTACCAGAGTGCCCTCATCGATCAGTGCCGCCAGGCCCGAACGCCCATCTGGATCGAGCGATGAAAACAGATACTGTCTATGACCAGCATGAGGTAGAGTAGGTTGTGCCCAGAAGGAGACTCTCAAAATACCATTGTGAATCAGAAGGTCACTCTTCCAGTGGACTGTAGCAAAGGACCCCGGCCGGGAGAATTGCGGGCGACCGAAGTGCTTAGCGGTCGCAACTGACTCAACGGGGCGACGATCCTCGGGCGGAGCGTCAGGGTGGTCCAGCTGACCTGGGCCTAGTCGGACAAATTGGCTGGAGTATTGATCGCGGTGGCAGGAGACATGGATTGAGACAGTCTCGCCGGGCGAGGCCACAAGAGGGTCGGCATAACCGATGATATGGGATGCAGCCATTTTCAGGTATGAATCGTAAGAATGGTTTGGCAATAGGACGCTGTTCCGTTTCAGCAAGACTTTAAAGTGGCGTTTTTAGGACGGATTCTATCCCTGCAGGGTTGCATGGAGCTTCAAGCCATTTATAAACGATTTCAGAAGACTTGCCGACGCACCCAATAAGATCAACAAGCAGAGATATTAAAACCCCACTCATACCCATTCTCTTATTTGCCTCATATTGTTTTTGATATCCGCGTTTTGCCGTTCCCTTTCTTCTTGGCTTTTCTTGTCCTGCTCGGTATATTGGCCATGAAATTGTGGAGGTTGACCAGGTGAGGCCTAATACCGACTGTAAGAACACAAGCTGATGGTCACAGCCCTTTCGCCCAGAACCTCCTGGCCTCTATCATAGTTGGCCTGGGGCCAGGACTATAGTAATTACTGGCACGTTAGCTACACATTGTCCCCGAGTAGTCAAGGTACTTATCATTTAATAAAGTGAAACTTTTAGACACCCTTGAAGCAAGCATAGGAGAAGATAGGGTATACTGAAAACATCGAAGCAGCGTGGCGCACTACGGGGATCCACTCTCTTGATCCTATACTCTAGTACATAGGATACAGATATATATATTGTGTACGTCACTGCTGATTGGACCGACTTTGATATTTCTATATATTTCTGATATCAAAAGTATCTAGTAATATGTTGACCCTAGGGTGTAGGCCTTGGCACTTTCGGAGGTTTCTGTCTGGCAAATTATCCTAATTAGGAATGCGGCCATATATACCAATGAACCAAAAGTTTCAAACTTTTTGCACCACTGTATATCGGGTGGCTGTGGAAATTCCTGGTGAAGGGGCGTGATGATTTGAATATATCAACATACAAGATAAGCCCAGTGGGATAGCACTGGGTTCACAATTGAGGTGGTTCTCGGCGGTTGGAACGGAATTTGAACAATGCAGACTTTTCGACTCATGATGATCAGTCAAGATGAAAAATAGTACTCTGGACAGCTGTTTTAAGAAAATGGAAGAAAGCTGATGTTGGTGTTTAGACGCTTAGGAAGTGCTTGTTGAAATAAAAATATAGATCGCTGGATCATATCGGGTGGCCCATAGCACGGCGACCATCAGACATAGAAGCTGTTTCTATCCATAAAAGAAATACGAGTGTGGTTGAAATGTATCTTAGGTGATATCTTGCCAAATTGCGATAGCTCTGAGCTGTCTTGTGTAACAGGGGGGTGTCAAGATAGTAGGATCTCGAGACCGTTTTACTCACAATCTTTGCTAATAGATATTTACTACCGATTTCGATTCACTAAGAACCAAGAATATCAAGGACCCTCTGAGGAGCCCATTTATACTTGCAAAATACCCCCGGTAGAATCGCAGGTCAGATACAGTTACCAATATCCAATCTTCCGGACAATCCGATACGCGTATTATCTGGAACTTGGAAGAGGTTCAAGGATTGGAGCATATCACTTTTTAATCCTCGGCTCGAACTGCTAGCATTTCTCTTGTTGCCCGTTGCTTCCGGTGTCCCGAACACATAACGCCATATCGCCGTCCTACGCTGAGGGCGCCCATACAACTAAGTAGTGGCTGGTGTTTGTGCCATATATTTACTATAGACTGCATTATCTGATTGCACTATGAGCTGGTCCATACAAATCATCGCCTAGATTACCAACACCACAGCCCTGATCCTTACAAGCAATGATAAGTCACTGTTGCCCGTCTATCTGCTTATCTGCCGCCTTTGCTGTATACTGTTTTCTGCTCTTTCTAAATCTTAGTGTCGTCCCTTCTTAGCATCGTCGTCTAGCGCCTTGTCCAACTCTTTCCGGTAGTCCTCTTGGGCCTTTCTCAGATCCTTCTGCAAGTCTTCCATGTCTTTCCGCAGATCCTTCATCTTGTGATGAGAGGGACCCTGCTGCATGTGCTGGGAAACGCGGTTGATCTTGTCCTGAAGCTCTTCTACCTCCTCCTGCCTTTTCATCACAGACTTTTTATTGTGATGCAGCTGATTCAGTGGATAGACTTGACTCGGCGGATATGGACCTTGCGGGGGATATTGTTGATATGGACCCGCTTGCGGATATAGCTGCTGAGGGAATTGCTGCGGGTAGGGGCCGCCCTGGGGAGGAAGATTCTGTTCATCCTTATGCTGGTGTTTCTTGTAGATGTCTTGAGCTATGGAACCGGCAATCGCACCACCGATAGTTCCGAGGAAGCCGTGGTTGGCCTTGTGGCCAGCGAAACCACCGACAGCACCACCGGCAAGCGCACCGGCAAGGCCACGCTCACCATCCTGGGCCTCACCAGGGGCGGTCGGCAGCTGCTGCTCGTTGTAAGACTGAGGGTACTGATTCTGAGGCTCTGGGTACTGTTGCAGATATGATTGCTGATACTCTTGGGAAGGGCCCTGGGGAGGCGGATGCCCAGAGTAGCCATACCCATTTTGGGAGGGAGTTCCATAGTACTCTGAATTCATTATTGCTAGCAGGGATCGAGAAGGTTCAAGGTAGAATGTTGAAAAGTAACGTATGCTGAGTATTCTGTCACACTCCCCAGCAGGGGAGCAACAGCCTTTAAATATTTAAATTTTAAGAATCTCGTCTAGCCCTAAATATCCACTACTCTTTTAAGAAAGACACTGCGAAGAAACGTCAGCTGGGATATATCGACATCACACACTCTGCATAAAGCTTGTGTCCCGCAGTGCCCGTATTGATTTGGGTATGATCCGCATTCATACTAAGTTCCTGTTCGTTATTGGGCCAAGTTTTAGCCCCCATGCATCAACACCAGACTCATTTTGGCCCCCATGTCTGGCTTCTGCTGTCGGGTCTATCTATAGTTGTGTCTGTTTTTTTTTAAATTCGGGAATTCCGTCTATATTACTTCTATTGGACAAGCGCCCTGAGTCCGGGCTCAGATGGATTATCTCTACGGGGTATCGACTCCACAAACAGAAACCCCAGCCACGAATACGCGCGTACATTTTCCAACGGATAAGTCGCTCTTTTCGCTAAGCAGTGCTAACATTTAGTCGGCTGCATCAATTTAAGCTGCCTTCGTAGTTTCTTCCAGCGTTGCTACAGAGTAAACATAGCTTCTCAATTGATCAATACATCCAAAGCTGTCGGGGGAAGCCGGGATTCACTGGTGCGTCGGAGCTTATTTATTCTGGCTTGATTCAAGGTTGTGCCTCTCTTCTAAAGAGAGAAAAATACTAGTACTGCTTCAACTTTATCGGACTCAAGTGGAGGATTCTAGGATCGATGGATAGAACCTTGAAATCCATTATATAGTTTATACAAAAAAAATAGGTGTCCTAATTATCTTCCGTCACCTCCCCCCCCGCGGGGTGTATCGCCTTGTCATATAATTTACATTTACGTTCCAATGCGAGAGCATGATCTACAGACTAGCTAAATTTGGACTAGAGGATTGCACTATTTACTTGGCATTTGGATCTAAGGGAGTTTCTTCATGTAAAACATGGAAGCCAATTTCGACTTCATATGTACACAAGAGCTAGGTTGGTGTTTCCTTGCTTTAATCAGATCCTCCAGTGAGCCTGTTGTAGAGTGGAACGGGGTCCCCGCCGCACCCGCCCCGAACCCGCCCCAACAAGGCGCTCAGAACATTGAAACCAACACCCAACTTAAAAACGTTATTATAATGTGTTAATCGATCGAGAAAGGCCTCATAAGACCCCAGGAACCACTATAGAGATCCCAAACCCCCATGGTGGTGGTCACCGAGTGCGCTGAGGTGGGTATCCCTGAGCGGAGTACCACCATCACCAGCACTGATATATCGGGGGGGGGTCCTAGGGCTCTGGATATATCTATTAATCTGGATCAGATAAGCAACAGTAAATCTAGTAGGTCACCAAGTAGAGCCAGCTCTAGAAGGAGCTGGAAGACACAGAACACTTGGAGCAACCGAAAGTAAAAAAACAAAATCAGATACTAGGAGATAGTCTAAACCCTAGAGCAAGTCAGACGGTCAATGCTCGGAACATCAGAATCGACACCCAACATAAACACATTATTTTAACGCGCCAATCGATCAAGAATGGCCTCCTGAGGCCTCAAGGACCGCTATGGAGATCCACAACCCCTATAGTGGTGGTCTACCGAGCGCATCGAGGTGGGTGCTCCCGAGCAGTTTACCACCACCACTATCACCATCATCACCAACACCGATATATCGCAGAGGCCCAGGGGCCCTGAATATAGCTATAGAAATGGAGTAAATTAGCAACGGTAAATCTAGCAGGGCCCCAAGCAGAACCAGCTCTAGAAGCGTACACAGAGCACTTATAGTACCCGAAAGCAAAAAGAAACAAGACTAGGCCTGAACCTCCAATCCCTACGTAAACTAGCAGAATCGCTTGAGAATCAGAAATATAAACGACAGGCAGAGATTAGATTGATACAAGCCTATATTAATCAGGTCTTGCTGTACATAACATTGTTGGTGCTCTAAAGATCATCCTACTATGCTTCAGCGAAGGGAGGTGTTGCTTACCCGTGCTACAAATGCTGTTCAGGGTTTTCCTCTTGTTTCTTACTTCCCGCTTGTACTCGTACGATTCATGCCCACCTTTCACCTCCACATATGGTCCGGCGTACTCGCTCACGGCGGTACCGTCACCGTTCGGCTTTTTTTGCTAACTGGAGTCGTTGGATTGGAGCCTGTACTTGTAGTAGCCTTTGCTATTGCCGATGACAACGTCCTTGTGGTGACCGCCAGTGTCTTTCATCAGTTGATTGAGCCCATCGTGTTTCGCGCCACTGCCGTCATCGTAGGTAGACAGACGCTCATCTGTGGGAATCCATACGAGAAGCCTCGTCGCGTCTTTGCCCGCGGTCACTGGGGGAACAGCCCTCTTAGATAAATCAAGGTCTGGCAGAGCGTTGCTCGCTCTTGTTATGAAGTCACGAGCATGGGAGCGAACGTCAAGGGCCGTGCCAGCACCGGCCGCCTCAGCCGAGGCGTAGGTAAAAGCGTTCGCCAGGAGGAGCAGAGGAATTTGAAACTTCATTTTGGGAAGGCTTTGACTTAAAATGCGGGGGAAGTAGTCTTGTAATAAGACGAGAATTTAGATCTGGTGGTTTATACTAGACCTCAGCACAGCCCACCTGTGGGCAGTGGGAGACCGCCCGTAGCTAAAAGATTATCTTTTATAGTACTGAAGATCTGATACTCCGAGTCTATAATTTTAAGAAGATCAAGTATTTTAGATAATTATACAAAATCTCGGTATATATAGAGTTTCTATATTTTTCTTAATTAATCTGTAGTTTAGAACATAGCTGGGATTATAATTAGTGATATAATACTGAGTAGTAGACGAACTGTCTCTGTTCAAATCTATTGTATCTGCTGCAGAGGTGGCTTGATTTGTAAGGATAGAATAAAAAGAAGGAAGGGAAATCAAGAAGTATAGAAATATTGCAGCATAGAACAGCAATTTCAAAAAGAGGGGGAAGTTACTGATGCGGGAGGGTGGTGATTGTAGAGGCGAACCCCATTTGTAGATGGGCAGCCACCCATATTCGTCTAGATCACTCGGCCGCTCTACAAGGAGTGGTTCTGGGTCAGGCCTCCGGCAAACCAGGTCTGGGCCCGATCATGATTCACCACTCTAATATTGACTTGATCGACTGACCTCCGAATCCTCGGTCACCAATAACGCTTTTACGCATTAGGTTGTTGATATTTCTTGGCAATCCTCCCTCAGAACTATATAGGGAAATAGCTCCCGATTCAAGATAAATCTGCATAGCTAATACGACCGGAAAAGGTATTTCACACCTCGAAACATACGGTCCATTAGTCGCAAAAAGGTAAATTTCGAATTCCTTTTGTGCAAAAGATTCTCTCGGATGTTATGAAGAAAGGCAAACTATTACTTATTTGGGTTATAGTCTACCAATGATCCGGACCGCTGCAGTGTGTGGCCATAAGATGGTCATCCCAATTGGATATTACACTAGCGGAGACGGGAATCGGTACATGAGACGACTTGTTTAGATATATACAGACGATCTATGAATTCTGTGGCGCTTTAGCAACAAGTGTTTAATAAAGTCGACGCACAACCGAGGGCGTTTACAACTTTCTCTTTGTTAATTTTTGATCATACGGATTTGCAAGCCTTTGCCACCCGTTATCAATACTACGCTGTTCCAACTCATCATTCCTGAGATCCTGTCCGCACCACTCTTAGCTCACGACAAAGGCTATTTCTTGAGTGACTAGACTATAAGAGAGGAGTCTGGCTTTCAATTGCCTGTCAATATTCCCGGCCTATGCCCACTTAGACAAAAGAAATCTCACCTCTGATCACCGCATTCATTGGAAAGTGAACTGTGTACTTTTTATAGCCGAAGGTTTGCTGGCCCAATATGGCCCACGAGCGATCCTACGATTTCATTGTCGTCGGTGGTAAATTTTTGCTCCCCATTATTGCTATCAGTCAACCACTTATCTAATTTATAGGCGGTCCGGCTGGATGTGCACTGGCTGCGTCTCTGGCAAGCTCCGCCAAGAGGCCGAGCGTATTGCTTCTAGAAGCCGGCGGGCGGAATGAGGACAAATCTCTGCGGGTCGATGGAAAGCGCTGGAAGACTTTCATGAAAGAGAATATGAACTGGGGATCCCAGACAAGCCCGCAGGAGCACTGCAACGGCCGTCAACTCGATTACTCGCACGGTAAGGGGCTCGGGGGCGGCTCTGCGATCAATTTTGGAGTCTACACTGTCGGAGCACGAGACGACTATGATCTATGGGCCGCCGAGGTCGATGACGAGACTTTTGCCTGGGACCAAATGCAGGCGCGGTTCAAAAACCTGGAAACATTTGCTGGCACAATTGATGTCCCAGAAAACCAGAAGTACAGTCAGCCGGAACCCGCAGGCCATGGCAATAAAGGTGGCCTGCACGTTGGCTATGCCAAAGACTGGGATTCAGATTTGACAACAGTGCTGGATGCATTCGAAGCAGCCGGGGTCCAGCGGAATCTTGATCACAACTCTGGTAATCCCCTTGGGTTCGGACTTTGTATCAATTCCGCTTCGAAGGGTATGCGATCAACCGCTGTTGATCTGTTGACTGATGTCTCGGATAATTTGGTCATTCTCTCCAACAGTCCAGTGCAACGCATTATATTGGACAAGAATAAGGCTGTGGGAGCCGAAGCTAATGGCACACAATGTGGGTTCTCTCAAAGGGCTTAGTTACTCTGGTTGCTGGAAGAACTCATGCATGCTTGCAGATTCTGCCTCGAACGAGGTCATCCTCTCAGCAGGATCGCTTGAAACCCCCAAGATTCTGATGCATTCTGGCATCGGTCCTGCCGACGAACTACGCAAGTTTAGCATTTCAGTCGTTCACGATCTACCAGCCGTAGGCCAAGGTCTCCGTGACCACATCTTTGCCCCACTTATTGTGATGCGCAACCCCGAAAGCAACGACCGTAATTCTTTCTACCAAGACGAAGTAGCCATGGAGGCCGCGATGAAACAATGGGAAAGAGACAGGACCGGTCCATGGACACGTTACGGCTGCCAATTAGGGATCGGCTGGTTCAAATCCGACCGAATAACATCCTGTGAAGAGTTCATGGCTTTGCCTGGGTCTGTACAAGATTTCATGAACTGCGAGACCATTCCGCACTACGAGATTATTAGCCATTTCCCCGTGCATTTCACCTTTCCGCAGCTCTTCCAAGATTACAGCTACATCTGCCTGCCTGTGTTCTTGATGAACGAGCAATCTGTTGGAGAGGTGCGATTGCAGTCGTCCGACCCTAATGAGCCACTTTCATTTAACCCCAAGTATCTCGAGCACCCATTTGACCGGCGAGCATGTATTGAGATTTACCGTCATCTTTGGGACCTGACCCAGCACCCATGTTTTGCTAAGGATACGGTCTCCACCATAATGGCACCGGCATCCCATTCCGATGAGGACATTCTTCAGTTCTGGAAGAACAACCTGTCATCCAGTTGGCACATGACGGGAACCGTGAAGATGGGGAGAGATGGTGCCAGTGATGCCGCTGTCGACAGTCACTTCCGCGTCTTTGGGGTGGAAAGACTACGTGTGGCTGATATGAGTGTGGTACCAGTTCTAACCAACAATCACACCCAGGCCACTGCTTATATAACTGGAGCAACATGTGCCGATGTCTTGATCCGCGAATATGGCTTGAATGAATAGCTATCTATATGCACCAGTCGGGACTGCTAACCGTCAATCTAACTCTCCAAGGCTTCTCCGCGGGTTAGTGCATGGCCAGGGCGCGGGAAGCTAGCATTAGTGCGACTTAGACGATTAAATTTTATCTATCTCTTTTTATTAATAAATACAGAGAATTTAATTCTATTAAATAATCTATGTTTAATATTTTATTTATATAAATTTAATCTAAAAAAGAAATTTAAAATAGATAAAAATGATATAATATTATTTTTTAATAGTAAAACAAAGAAGATGATATATTTAAATATAATTATTTTTATAATTAATAATATAAAGATATGTTTAGAAGAGCAGTCTACTAACAAGTAGGCTTCTTCACGGCCTATCCCGCTTAGGCCTACGGTGGGTTGGGCTTTGGGCCCTGAAGACTACTGACAAGAACAGGATTGAAGATATTGTTTATCTATATATTAAATCTTCTAATTTTATTAGTAATTATCACTTGCCAGCTTAGAACTCTGTAAATATAAATTCTCAGAAAGAATATAGACCCTTAATTAGATAAAAACAATATTCTATTCATATATAAAAAGTCTCGATAGTATTCGATTTACTTTTGTATATATCAATACGGTATTTTGGATCAAATAGAAGAGGGAGGGTCTTGGGATTCTCTTAAGCACTTTAAACTACCACAAGAAATAATAATAATAATATTGACCAGTGTAGTCTGGCAGAGGAGATATAAAACCAGTCACTTTTGGACCTCTCGTAATGAGAGACTATTTCCTACACCCTCCAAAGAGAAAGCTGCTTCAATACTCAGCCCTTGAGATCGGCGCAAAGACCTTTTTTTTTTTGAAATACCATTCCTCCCTGAGCAGGGTAAATTTCATCTAGGCCTCGTTTTGTGGCGCATGATGAAACTGCATACACCATACCCGATGGCATCACAGGGGTCGCAGTATCGAAAAGCAGGAGCAGCTTTACTCAACACTAACAGTTAATCCTCGTTACCCTCATCCATTCCACAAGGAGTATTGCCCGGCGGCTACTACTCGGGTATGTTGCATAGGTTAGAAGTTAGCCTGCTTACACATGGTAAAAGGCTCCATGTTGAAATTCTTCTTCCCACCTGCAAAGCTTCTTTGTACACTAATAGCAGCGTACTGTCGCATCTGACTCTCATACTCACCTATCGTCGCCGTCGATAGTCCCTTTTCTGCCAAGAGGGAGCCAAGCACATAAGCATCTTTGATTGCCGTACATGCACCCACTCCACCGGTAGGACTCATTACATGGATAGCATCCCCTAAAACCGTGATGCGAGGATCAGGAAACCACTCCTGAATGTCAGGACTGACACTGAGGATTCTGATCGCTGCTGTATCCCTCGTGTCTTGTAACTCTAGGAGACCGTGAATTGAAGGGTCCCATTCACTGGTCATGGACAACGTGAGCTCTCTTCCAGGCTGTTCCAGAAGTTCCTCGAGCTCTTCCTCCGTGGATGCTAGCAGTCTCTTGCGAAACAACAAGGCCCAGTACACATAATCATCCGGTAGGTCATCTCTCCGGCCCCGATGAGGAAACCGCATTGGCTCCATGAACAGTGTGATCGGATTGTCACCTATTATGATACTCTCCATCGCGGGTGCGTTGTCATAGACCAGAGTCATCCACTGGAAAAGGTGTGAGGGGCATCGTTCAGTCAGCGCAGGTGTGATAGGAGTCTTTCCGTATATACAGACTCCTTCTGAATCGAGCACACGGTGCGCGGGGAGATATTGTCGTCTCACTCTGGAGCGAGTCCCGTCGGCAGCGATAAGGAGGTTTGCTTTTGCCGTAGTGCCATCTTGGAAATGTGCCACTACTGTGGTATCGTCCTGCAGTTCGTAATGAGTGAATTCCTTCCTCCAGAGGACATTATTAGACTCAAGACCTTTCAGCAGAACCTTGCGCAGCATCGAACGGTCGACCGTGTAAGTGTCCCTGTCCCCGAAACCCGCCTTTCCCTTTCTGCTCGCAGTGACCACCCCCGTGATTGCATTGATGTTCGTTTCCCCTAGGACAGTCTCTCCACATGTCTGCTCAAAATCCTGCCATAAATCCTTGCCCAAGACAGCACGGAGGGCGGCAGTTGTATCTCCGTGGACTTTGATGCGGTAGCCTTGCGGCCTTGCGTCCGTGGCATGATCACGTTCGAAGATGGTGAAGTCAATCCCTGATTTCTTCAGACTGTGGGCCAGTGTCAGGCCACCTAGACCGGCCCCGATGATGGCCACTTTTAACTGCGACGGAGGCTGAGTTTTGTCGTGCAACGTATACCCATTCAAGGTTGTAGTTATGCCTTCTACCATCGTGGAGTGGTTTGTGAGATTTGCTATGGCTGTTTTGTTGTTCAATGGAAGACAAATAAGAGACTTTCGGCGATTTCCTCTTCCGTTCTTGACTTTCTGTTTTGCTTTGTTTATTTTTATCTTGCTCCACGCTCCATTTTGTATCTCATGTGTCTCATAGGGCTATCGGGCATGGACGCCTTATTAATTGGGACCTGGAAGCGAAACTGACCAATAGGGATTCAGCTTTGATCCCCGAACAACAGTATACAGCTCCACCATCCCCGGAGCTTCCCTTCAGATAGTATCTCATCTCATCTTTGTTTTTCTACAGCTTTGCCATATTTCAAAGCATTTTGCAATGTTGATTAAGCTGGGCGTCGATCATACTCACTCGGGGCCCGAGAAGCTAGCTTTTCTCTTGGAGCCGAAGCTCGTTTAAGAACCCAATTCTCCGCATCCTGCTTTGTACCGAGTTGAGATAAGGAAAGGAGAAAAGCTCCATAGTTTTGTAATCCGATCTTCCCTTTACACGGTTCTCCACCATGTCAGATTCGAAGGAGCGCCAACTGCACGAAAGCGATGTTGGAGTCGAATCGTCCAGCGAATCTGATCCGATCCAGCCCCAACCAGAATATCCCTCCGGGTTGGTCCTCGGTGTCACGATTCTCGCTCTCTGCATCTCGGTGTTTTGTGTTGCATTGGATATGACCATCATTTCAACGGCAATCCCAAAAATTACCGACCAGTTCCATGCGCTAAATGATGTGGGCTGGTATGGCTCTGGTGAGCGACTCTCAACTGGCCGGCGACCCCGTCTCGGAATTGCTAACAATTGCTTTTTATTTCCATAGCATATCTATTGACAACATGCGGTATTCCTCATCCATTCGCTGTGGCTGATATTCCGACTCTCTAACATTATCTTAGCGTTCCAACTCCCTTTTGGTAAAGTATATGGTATCTTCAGCCCAAAATGGACCTTTCTCGTCGCTCTTGCTCTGTTCGAAGTGGGTTCGTTGATATGTGCGGTGGCACCTTCATCAGTTGTCTTGATTGTTGGGGTAAGGCACCATTCATTCCTCCTAGAAAAGAGACCATGCTTTATCTTTGCTCACACTAATTCATGGTGTTCTAGCGTGCGATTGCCGGAATAGGCGCTGCGGGTGTATTCAGCGGTGCTCTTGTCATTATCGCTTATTCGTCCTCAATGGAGAAACGTCCCATGTACCAAAGCATGCTCGGGGGCATGTTTGGAATTGCTTCTGTAGTGGGACCCATGGTAAGAAATAGACAAGTCTCTTTCATAGTTTGATCATAGCTCATTAAGCGGCAAATAGATCGGCGGTGCTTTCACTGACAAGGCTACGTGGCGGTGGTGCTTTTACATTAATCTTCCACTTGGGTAAGTCTTTTCTCTCTTTCCCAGCCTGACCGTCTTCAGGCCCTTAACCAAGCGCTAATTATGTGTACATACTAGTGGTTTCACGGCAATTGTTATCACATTTTTCTTGCATCTCAACACAGGAAAGAGTTCTCGGAAAAGCCAGAGCTTCTGGAGTCTCCTTTGGAGCCTCGACCCGATTGGTTTCATGCTTTTCGTACCAAGCATTATCTGTGTCCTTCTGGCATTACAGGTATGTGTTGGATTCAATCGCTTACATCCTAGCTCTTTGCTTGGAGATTCGAGACTAACAATAATCACTCATAGTGGGGAGGTACTACCTATCCATGGAGCAATGGGAGAATCATTGCTCTCTTTGTAGTCTTCGGCCTGGCATTAATCGGCTTTGCGGTAGTTCAGGTTTGGCTGGGTGAAAACGCTACACGTAAGAGAGCAATCTAAGGCCGGACTCGATATGTGGGATGGACTATTGCTGACCACTCTCTCCAGTCCCGCCTCGAATTGCAACCCATCGTACGGTCTGGGCTGCCAGTCTCTTCTCCTTCTGCCTCTCTGGTGCATTCTTCCTGCTCATCTACTACATTCCTATTTATTTCCAAGCGATCAAGGGGATAGACGCTCTCCACTCTGGAATCGATAGTATTCCATTGATCCTTTCCAACGTTGTTGGTATCATCCTTGCCGGTGCCCTCACCACCAAGCTTGGTCATTATATGCCATTTATCTATAGTTGTGTGCTACTCACCTCCATCGGGTCCGGTCTTCTCACCACCCTGGAACCACACACCACTAGTGGAAAATGGATCGGTTATCAGATTCTATTTGGCTTTGGCTGTGGCTGCGGCTTCCAGCTCCCTCAGATCGCTGCACAGGCCGTTTTGCCCTTTGAGGATGTTCAGACGGGCATCGCCATCACACTTCTGTTCCAGAACTTTGGTGGCGCCATTTTTGTCAGTGTCGGCGGTACTGTTCTCGATGAACACTTGTTGCAATATATTTCCGACTTGGATGCTGGGGTCGATCCCGAGGCAATTATTCAGGCTGGCGCAACCGCCTGCGGGGTCTCGTTCCGAGTGAGCATCTGTCCGCTGTGATCGGCGCTTACAATAGCGCGATTGTCAAGACCTTTCAAGTTGCGCTGATTGTCTCGTGCCTGAGTGCTATGGGTGCTGCGTTTATGGAGTGGAAGAGCGTGAAGGCACCTGCCAAAGCTGCTTCGGGTGGAGAGTTGGCGGATGGTGAATAGTAGGAGTCGGCCTGGGTTGACGATCTTGACTATATAAAAGTAGAGGGCATTTATCTACTATGTGCTGCAATTCTAATTACATTTTGAGAACAGTTCAGTTGGGCTAGTTCAGCGTGCCGCTAGTCATAAAAATGGGAAATCTATATAACTTCCATATTAAACCTTCTTCGCCCATCGTTATGCCTTATTCGGATGTAGGAACCGTGTCATCGAGCCTAACAGTCTTAATCTGCATAGCAAGACCAGCAATATGAACAGCATAAACGGAGTCGTCAAATCCGACCTTAACCTCGTCAGCACGCACGGCCTGAACAACCGACCCACCATCCATACTTCTCCAAAAGACCCTCTTCAAGAGCTAATAGGGTAACTTGCTCCGAGCGCTCGTGTCTTTTAGACATTCCCTGCATCGCGCAAGGTCCAACCGGGGAGGCGAATACGAGAAACACGAATGCCGATACAAAACCGAACAAGTTGCGCACACTGTCGATGCTTTAGTGAATCTGTCCGTCAGAGTCGCACCGAAATATGACCCACAGCGACACCCCCGATGTCCGTGCATTTTTGGTGGTCTAGTGGGGCATTCGCCTTTCGTTGAACTGAATCATTGTTGCAATCTCACCCCCCTTCCTTTACTCGGTGCTATTGAGAGAACGGCCGAGTAGCAAGGATGCTCTTCCTGCAGTCATCATGCAACATCCACGTGGAACACGTACGGTGAGATTGTTTTGGATCGGCCGTTCATTGGCACGCCATAATCGGAACCGTTCTCGACATTGAGATGGGATTCCGATATCCCTCTATCTGCTCCATTTCTTGATCTCGTTCTTGATATCTACGCGGAAAAGCGCATGTTCCTGTATTCCTGTATATATGTGCCTCATCTATATCTAGAGTAGGCAATATAAATAAGCCTCGGCTAAATGCGACCGGTTGCTTCTGCAACGACTAAGAACCAGCCTACACATGGGAAATGGTCCCCACCCGACAGAAGGATGTGATAAGCTCGCTAGTGCATGTCAAGCGAGGCTTAGGAGGGGACTATGTATTCATCAAATCAAGCTTTCATCGTGGTTGGATTGTTGGTTTTCCGTACAGCCTCCATGCTAGCGCGGGAGGCCTAGCCGGATGCCTGGTAATTCAGGTCGATGGTACCTTGGTCTTGGTTTTTCTGCGAATCCCACCCAAGCTTCTTTCTCTTTTCTCTCACCTCTCCCCCTCACACACGCAGACAAAAGAGAGAGAATGTGTGTGTGAGATACATCTCTAGGCTGCTTCTTACACTTAATCAAATTACTTTCAGTTAACCTATTTTAGATCATCATTTGAAGATACAACTCAACCCCCGTCTCGATCCCTGACTATGCCCCTCTCATGAACCTCACCGGCCATTACTGAGACCCCAAAATGTCTACGGACAGCTACTCGCCTCCGGACTTGCAAGTTCCGCTGCCGTCCACATTGACGGGGCGCAAGCGACCTAAACTACGATCGTCATGCGATGCTTGTGGGGGGGCGAAAGTGCGTTGTGATAAGGTTCAACCCCACTGCGGCCGCTGTGCCGCCATGGGACTGACTTGCGTCTACGGACTGTCGCGCAAGATTGGCAAACCTCCCAGAGGGAAGCCCGCCATCTCCGAACGAATCGCCCGAGAAAAAGGCAGCTCAACCCCACACTGTACCCCTCGAAGTATGATCGGATGCTCCAGACATATGCGACTGGTTTTATTAATTGCCTGATAGTGGTATCCGAATATTCCATGCATCCCTCGCCCCAACATGCATTACCGCCCATCGATGTGCCCTCAGGTATTCTGTGCGATCTACCCTCTTCAGCCTCCCATCCAGTTGCGCCGATGGTGGATATTAACGATGTCACCGACTTCGAGGTAGATTCAGGGCTGGGAACCTCGATTGACTTTGACATGTTCGCCGGCTGGGGTTTCCCCGATCACACAGATGCGTTCATGGGAATGGGGGACGCGGAATCCTTCGCAAAACCGACCAGTCTCTCGCCCGCATCGGATGATAATATTCACCGCAACGGGGCTAATTGTCACCGAACAGCATATGGTATGTTGGAAAGTTTATGTTTCCGCTCGACGCCGGAGGAAAACCCGAGCGTGCAAACGCTGGACCAAATTTTGCACCGGAACGAAGAAGTTATAACCAAACTCCGTCAACTTCTCAAATGTATCTGTTCGCGGTCTCCACATCTCACCATGCTCTATGCATCTATTCTATCCAAAGTCCTGATCTGGTACCAACAAGCTGCCGGCTGTAAGCATTCGTCCTCGTGGCGTTCGTCATCGTCGACATATGCTGGGTCCGGCAGCTGTACATCAAGTTCAGGGCAACAATCGACTACCCCGTCACTCGCTCAGAGCACGGGGTCTTTAATTGTGTCCAAGCCGATCATGATAGGGACCTTTGCTGTTAAGGAGGAAAGTACCCAAGAAATCCTCAAGAAGCAGTTGATCCTGTGTGAGCTAAAGAAACTGAGTGCCTTGAACGAAATATTCAGCTCTCAAGGCTCAGCAGGAAATCATCATTCGGGCGGTGGGGTGGATGATCTGTATGCGAGTCTTGGTAGGTGGCTTACCAGTGAGCTCTCCCGAACCATCATGGTTCTGAAATCAGGAATGGACGTAGTCAATCCGATGAATTGACAGTTTTTACACTAACGAGCAATGCAGCGATTTCGTATACATGTATCTCATTTAATCTATATAAAGAATATAAAACTAACGATTGTGGACCTGATTCGAGTGTAAAGTGGTAGATAAACCTGATAATATCTGGGAAGTTAAGGGGAGAAGATGACACAAACTAGGTACCTCCTTGCTCTTTCGCTTTTTCGGTCTTGTAGGGCAAGCCGTCTGCTACAACCCCCGTCCCATGAGGTTTATTTCATGCGAAGGATATCGTAGGTAACAGTAGACGTTCATTGCTATGGCAAGCAGTGTGATCCTTCGTTGAAGCGCCAAGGGCCTTTGTATAACCTGCCATATACTAAGCTTCTACCGATAGCTTTTACATAGGCAATCAAAGGATTACTCCTACTCCTATTGGCTATCTCTATAGTAATTGGCATCTATTTCCAACTGGGCCGATTAAGTAAAAGACGTAATAGAAAAACCGGTCAAAAGTGGGTTTGGCAATCCCTCTCCTATAATCTCAACCCTTATACCTAAAGAATATTCTTCTGTTTCATATAATGACTATCATATCCATCTCATGTGACGACTAGCATCCCAATAACTCTAGGCCACCCGTTCAAGATCTAAAGACAACCTCCAAAACAGACATCACACTCCCAAACGGCTGCACAATCTGCACCAACTGCAATCTCGGATCCGCGGCAGCCAAAAGATCCTCCCAATCCCCTCGATCCCTCTCATGACTATTGAACGCCTGCATCATAGTCAAGTCTCTCACCCGCATGATCCGCTCCACGGAGCTCGGTACCGTTGCCGGAGCAGGCAGCACCGAGTCCATGATAAGCAGTCTACTGCACCGACTCATTGCCGGTAAAATGTTCCGGAGAATCTGCACGGACTCCTCTCGGGGCCAGTCGTGCAGGATCATCCGGAGGAGGTAGATCTCCGCCCCTTTGACCGGCTGTGGCTGCGTGAAGTCGTGCGCTTGGTAGATAATCCGCGCGAAATAGTCAGGTGGGAGCGTGGACGAGGCGGCTTGGCGACCGTTGTCGACGTTTATGGGCAGGTCTTGCACAATGAATATCAAGTCAGGGAAGGCTTTGGCGAGTGCGATGGCGGCGTGGCCGGTTGAGCCTCCGATCTGTTAATGTAACGAGGAGATTAGTCTCTTTACCTTTTCCACTATGTTCAATATTATCACGCCTTCCTGGAGAGAAGAAGAAAGGCCTTACATCCACAACCGTAGCAGCCCCCAAACTCCCCCAATCAAACCCGGCCAACAGATGCTTGATATCTGTGCCTCATTCGTCGTGACATTCTTCATATAGGCAGCAAACTCCGCCGTCTTCTCCGAGTCGGTCGCAAGATGATCAAAGAACGGGAGGTCCGTCTCGAACGCGATATTGTACGCCGTCTCGTTCTTGCGCACCGTTCCGGGCCATTTCTCATGCGCCTCGACCATCTTCATCGCCGTGGGTGTGGACCTATCACACATGTATTTAGCCCAGGCGTACATATTGTCATTTGCAGCTAGAAGAGCCGAGGTAGCTGAGTGGGCAATTTGGCCCGGCGTGGGCTCAGTGAACAGCATATTGGTCATGGCCATCCGGGCGATGCTTTTCAGCGCTTGCTCCGGTACTTGGGCTTTAGCCGCCAGATCTGAGTACGACATACTGCCGGTCAGGGGCAGGTGATGAATGATGTTGAAGTGGCAGAGCCATCGGAGACACGTGATGTATTGGTACTAATTTCCATTGTGTCAGATATCCATCCGGGATACGATCTCTGGGAAGCATATTCTCCTTACGCCAGTGGATAAGTGAGACAGGAATTCACTTGGACCAATGGCAAGCTGGAACAGCTTCAGTGCATCTTCGATCAGGTTTTGTCGAGCTTGCCGGATGCTCTGCGGACAGCTTGCGGGGAGGACCTCTACGGGGCCGTCCTGCGCCGTGGATGGCTGGGGGAGCTCATGGGCGTGCAGGAACTGGCTTATGATGCTTGCGTTCTTGGTCATCTGCCAGCTTAGTCTTTCTAAGGGGAAGGAAGCGGGATTTTCGCTTTCTGGGTTTGTTTGGGTCATGGTGTATGAGGAATTGCTGCCTTGCGTGTACCCTGTGTGTGTTTGTTGAAATTGATCTGAACGGAGTTGAGTAGACAAAACAGTTTTTATACGTCCTATACATCTTGTCATAGTCAAAATAAATATCACAAAGGCTGGGAAATAGTGTCCCCACTACACACACCATGGGCTAAAGCACCGGGCCATGCCCGGGGTCTATCAGCCTTACAGCCCCCTACTTCTAATTCCCCAGCTGACCCGGTCGGTCCCCGAACCTCCCCCGAAGAAAAGACAACCAACTACACAGTATACCCAATTCAAGCAATTCCAAGCCTCCCAACAGTGTCCATTCCCTAATACCCCACTGAATCCTTAATCTAACAAATAATCCATAGCAAGCGATACTATTTGCCCACCAAATCCAAAGATCTTTCCAAAATTTACCTAATAAGAACTTGAATGACTCGCTAGATACCCCCCATCCGCCAACAGAACCGATCCATTGCAATACGCCCCGGCTTTGGACGCTAGATATACCACAGTGCCTCCGATCTCTTGGGCATCCCCGAATCGCTCTTCCGGGGTCATGGATGCGGGGAGTCTTCCGGCGGTCTTGTTGTGAAGACTCTCTGTCATTTCGGTGTGGAAATCTGTAGTTATCAAGTTAGATATAGTTGATGGAAGGGTCAGTGGTTGAAGCACCGTGATAGGTAACAGAGGAAGACAAGAAGAAGAGAAAAAAAAACTCACACCCCGGCACAATAACATTAACCCTAATCTTCCACGGAACCAAATAAGTCGACAAATTCTTCATCATCTGCGCCGTGCCTGCCTTACTAGCCCCGTAAATAAACGCCGAATTTTCCCTTCCAAACCCGCCAACACTACTCAGTGCAATAACCTGACTGCGCACGAAAAACCTCCGTTTCGCAGCAGCTCCATTAGCAGCAGGAGCCCCATTCTGCGCCCCCTGTTCCCCACGCACCTTATTCCCATTATGCAACAGCTCCAGAAACGCAAACGTCACCATCAGCATCGCCGTCGTATTTGTCTCAAGCACGGCGGCATAATCCCCGAAGGATTTCTGGAACCAGTAGTCCCGCACCTTGGCGATATCCCATTTGGGGGTGGGGCGGGTGGCATGGGGACCGAGGTTGGGGGTTGCGATGCCTGCGTTGTTTATGAGGAGGTTGATGTGCCCGGATTGCGTGGTAATGTGGTTGACGGCTTTGGTGAGGTCGTCGTGGCTGGTTATGTCGCATTGTACTGGGTGGAGGCGTTGGAATTTCTGATTGAGAGTTAATGGGTTGCTGGTTTTTCCCCCTCTATTTTGGGAGTTTTAGAGACAGTGGGAGGGGAGGGGAGAGGTACGGCTTGCTTTGCTGCGGCTTCTAGGGCTTGTTTTCTTCGGCCTAGGATATAGACCGTGGCGCCATTTGCTTCAAGGGCTTTGGCCATCATGAGCCCTAATCCTGAGCCTCCGCCGGTTACTACGGCGATGCAGCCTGTTACGTCGAAGAGGTTGGGTATCTGTAGCGGATCCATTGCGATTTCCACTGGTTGATTGTGCTTGTTTGTGAGAAAGTCAAAATGAAATGAAATAAATAAAATAGAGAATTTGTAGTTTACTAAATGTAGCAGTAATGGTCCACGTACAACTTAATTGTGATTTGTAACCCCAAACCGGGCGGATACCGTTTCCTACTTATCTATCTACCAACCAGCCTGCATCTAACAGACAAGAAAAAAGAACGCACAGCCTCTAACGTCCCCGGAGCTAAGCTAGCTAATTCCTCTACATCGGATATTTTCTAATGGAAAAAGGGACATCTCGTCCGGAGGTCGAGGGAGAAACAATTTGATCCTTCGGGGAATGAGACATGAATCGGGCTCTGCGGCTCAATGTTCGGGTTTCGCTTCACTCGCGTTCAAACAGTTGGCAGAGTCAGATTAGGCTTTCGCTAACTTTACAGACAAATCCTATTGGACTCAATGTCTGAGTTTCAGTCAGCTTCGGGTCATGAGTGAGGCTCGTGGCGAGATAGAGTATCTTGTGATATGGTTGTGTGGTCCCTATTGGAAGAACTGGTCTCCTGTGGGGGGAGTAGATAGATATAGTTCTAAGTAGATAGGGCTGCCCTCTGTGGAAAATAATTTCAGTTTGTAATGCCATATAATGTACTTGTTTGCTTAATAATATATCGTAATTAACTAACGTTAACTTGGCTAGTTGAGTTGTTAATCCCTCATTTTCTGGACCGGGTTACATAATGATAGCTACGCGGTGTCGGTTGGACGCCCTACATTAGGCCTTCAATTGCCATGACTTCCAGTTCCAGAAGCCTTCATCTCGGTGATCCGTAAGAATAGTGGAAGCAAATGGAAACCTTTACTACTTAGCTATTCCTTAATTAACTCAAAAAGTTCACAAATCCTGTTGCTTCATGGGCTAACTATTACAATTCTGAGTAGTCCGTACCTGCAAACTCCTAGCTCACTACCTTTTATTTACAATCCCATTGACATCCACCGTCATGCCTCTCAGCACATATCCCTCCTGCATGGCCTTCTCCCACTGTTCCTTAACAATGGCCAAAGTGTTCTCGTTCCGAGGAACGAATCGCGCCGCAAATGGCTTAGGCGGCCTGAACGCAGTATCGTCCCACGCATGCTCGCTGACATCCATCCCCATCGCCTCTGCGCCATCAACCATTGGGGGCCGGATCTCAAAGGCCCACAGGATATTCGATAGCGCGATTGTGAGCGTGTTCTCTGCCAATCGTGCCCCAGGGCAGATGCGCCGTCCAACGCCAAAAGTAAAATGGTCTCGTTTGTACGGGTCACTTTGGGCCGCATAGTCGGCGCTATAGAGCGGATGGTCCAGGTAGCGTTCGGGCTTGAACCGGAATGGCTCGTCGTATCGCTCAGGATCGAAGTGGATGGCGCTCGGATTTGCAAGCAGCACCGTTCCTTTGGGGATGACGTGCGACTTGTATACAATGTCTGCGTCGGCGTAGTGCTTGATGCCCCAAATGGGGACAGGGCAAAAGCGCAGGATTTCTTTGACAATTGCCCGGATGTAAGATAGTTTGGACACATCTGTAAAGGTGGGAGTCCGGTTGGGGCCGACCACGCGCATTAGCTCCTCGTGGGCCCGTTGTTGGACCTTTGGGTTCGCTGCTAGTTGGAGGATAAGATTGTTCATTGTGACGGAGGAGGTCTCCGAGCCCGCCTCTACAATCCCCCCGGCGATCCATGCCCCGTCGGCATCGGTCAGACCTCGTGCCTGGTAGTCACTTTCCATGATCTCTCGGCCGTAACAGGTCGGTGCCTGGCCAGCGACTAGCTGCTTCTTGAGTCGGTTCCACAGTCGCATTTTGGCCTCCAAGATCGGCTTGGAATATTCCACTGCCTTCTTCCGACTAGGCTGCAACCATGTGGGCAACCTGGCCAGCGGGGGGAGCTCATCCTCAACGAAGGCGCCCGCGCGAGAGACTTGTCCGATGAGCTTGGCACTCTTCATTGCATATAGGACGTCCTCATGGTCCCACCGATTGATGCGCGTGCCGTAGCTGGAGGTCATGATAATGCTAAATGAGAAACGTCGCGTGTGGAAGTAGAAGTCGCGCTGGTTGTCATTTTTGAACGCGAGCTCGTATAGCAGCTGCTTAGTCTCGTACTCTTGTGTTGGGATGAAGGTCTCTGTCATTTTGGGCGACACGAGCTGATGCACGATGGCACGGTATGTGCGCCATTTGGGTCCGTAGGGCATTGTGAACATGCGCAGGCCACCCATGACTATGTCATCTCCGATTGGAGCTGGGGGCTTGGATGATGTATGGAGGGACTATTTGGTATCTTTGTTAGTTCTCTTAAACATAGCTTCTCTGCTTTTTTTCCATTTGCGATCAGAATTATACGTACTTGTTTGTCAAATATCTCCCTCATAGCTTCGGGAGTGTTGACAACAATCCAATGGTACCACCCAACTTTGATCTTGAAGACCTCTCCATACTCAGCAGCCCACTGCCGAAAGATAGACGGCGAAGAAGGAGGAAGGCTCAGGCCAATACCAATCACAGGATATCTTCCCTTCGGGCCACGGATGGAGTCCAGCCGGCCGTCTCTCTTGAGCCATGATATCAAAATTACAACAACGAGCACAAGCCCGGCGAGGACTAGTAGTCGATTATTCTGGTACACAGCGAGTATATTTTCCATAATGCTTGATTTGAAGCCCAGAGAAGCTGAGACACTAATCATTTTCATGTATTGAACCAACAACCGAGGTATAACGAATCTTTATAGCAGTCCAGATGACCAATCTGCGCTAGGCATCATCACCTCAAATCGTGGAACCGTAGATCTAGGCTCGTAGCTGAGTCAAAACGCTATGGACCAATTGGAATACCGTTTGGGAGGCCGGTACCTTGGAATTCAGCCCCCAACGTCTGCCGGGTATTGATCGTTGGTTCATGCTCATTTCCAACTCGTGTGGCCCTCGTGGTTGCCACGAGTTCCGGGTATTATCCCCGAGACTAGGAATTGGAAGGATCCTATGCAACCCGATAGAGAAGTAGTAACTAGACGGATCAACCAACAGGCATTCGTCGACACATGTGTGTAGTCGATAGTCGGCATCCGAGGAGGTCAGTTATTCACTCCAGAATCAGAGACAAGGGTCCTTGTCTCCTTGGATTTCCCGAGAGCAGAGGACCGGATAATATGGAAGCCCCGAACGGTAAGATTCAGGAACTCTCAGTTATACAGTCTATAAGAATAGTATATTATCCTTGTATGGGAAGATACAACCCTCAAGCCTTCAATTTCCTCCACTCGCAATTTTGAGTACATCATAGAGAACATATAGAGATACACCATGACTACGCCTTTTAAGCTGCTTATCTTTGGAGATCAGACCTACCATGTACATCCCCATCTCCGAGAGCTGGTGCAATCGAATGAGCCAATCCTAGTGGAATTCCTTGACAGAACCTATGCCGCCTTGCGTACGGAGCTATTTCGTCTCCCTCCCGAGCTTCGAGAGGCCCTGCCACGGTTCACGAGCATCACAGACCTGGCATTATGGGGTGAGCAGTCGGAAGGTGTTCATTTGGTAGCTTTAGACATGGCAGTGACCTGCCTATATCATCTAGCTGCATTTATTAGGTGAGGGCCTCTCCGACTTAGCTTGGCTATGTCATGTTTATATTTTCATTTTCCGGTCACATATATTCGCTCAAGACTTGGTTTTCCTTTGGTACTGACCGCGAGAGTAGTCGGTTCAGTCATTCATACCCATTACCAGAGGAATGCCATATACTTGGTCTTTGCACGGGTACCTTGGCAGCATCCGCAGTGAGCTGTTGTACAAATGTCCTGGAGTTGGTGCCAATAGCTATCGAGACGGTTGTTGTCGCCTTCCGTACGGGTCTCCTCGTGTCAGATGTCGGAAGCCGCATAGAGGCTCACGATAATTCCGAACCCTGGTCCTTGCTGGTTCCCAGTTCTGATGCAGCCCAAGCTGTGCAGGACTTTTGTCAGGGGAGCGTAAGTGGACATCCTTCAACTCAATATTGCACTTTTGCCAACTTCAATGTACATAGGCTCTACCACTCACATCGCAACCCTATATCAGCGCATATTCACCCAGCTGTGTCACTGTCACCGGGCCTCCCAGTATCCTCTCTCAATTAAAAGATACAAAACTCTTCCAGGGTCTGAATATCAGGTCAATCCCTGTTTATGCTCCATATCATGCGCGACACCTTTTCTCTCCAGATGATATTGAAGAGATTTTGAGGCCGGTGCCGGCCGCAGCCGGGGCCCCCAGACTCCCAGTTATCTCAAGCATTACTGGAGATTATATCACCGCGCCTGACATTAAATCTCTCCTCAAAGTATCCTTGGAGCAAATCCTGCTTGACAAGATCGACTGGAATCAGATTCTGGAAAAGTTTACGGGGTCACTGACAAACGTCACTCAGTCAACATTTACAGTTGTTCCGTTCGGGACCCTCGCTGACCAGACTATTTACTCAGCCGCACGGCAGGAGTCCTTGAAAGGTATGCAGCTCCCGCATCATGTCAGACAATCGTCCGTTCTCGAGACTGTCAATTCAGGACGAAAGTCTAAGATCGCGATTGTCGGTATGTCCGGAAGATTTCCAAACGCCAGGGATCGCGAGGCCTTCTGGGACCTTCTCTACGAGGGCCTTGATGTGCACAAGGAAGTCCCTCCCCTGCATTGGGATGCCAGGACTCATGTGGATGTGAGCGGAAAACTAAAGAATACGAGCGCAACACCATTTGGCTGCTGGCTTGACGACCCGGCGGCGTTCGATGCTCGGTTCTTCAACATGTCTCCCCGGGAAGCGCCTCAGGTAGACCCTGCCCAGAGAATCGCGCTGATGACTGCATACGAGGCGATCGAGCAGGCAGGTCTTGTACCTGACGCAACTCCGTCAACCCGAAGAGACAGAGTTGGTGTCTTCTATGGTGTTACCAGCAATGACTGGATGGAAACGAACAGCGCTCAGAATATTGATACCTATTTTATCCCGGGAGGAAATCGGGCCTTTATTCCGGGGAGAATCAACTATTTCTTCAAATTCAGCGGGCCCAGCTATGCTGTTGACACGGCATGTTCGTCGAGTCTAGCTGCAATTCATGTGGCCTGTAACTCTCTGTGGAGAGGGGATATTGACACTGCCATTGCTGGGGGTACCAATATTCTGACAAATCCGGACTTCACAGCGGGGCTAGATAGAGGTCATTTTCTATCAAGAACGGGAAATTGCAAAACGTTCGATGACGAGGCAGATGGCTATTGCCGAGGAGAGGGTGTCGGAACGGTCATTCTAAAGCGTCTTGAGGATGCACTTGCAGAAAATGACCCAATTCAAGGAGTGATTCTAGGAGCGTATACCAATCATTCCGCTGAGGCAGACTCTATCACCAGGCCACATGTTGGCGCTCAACGCGCAATATTTAGGAAGATCCTTAATGAAAGCGGCGTTGACCCATACACAGTCAGCTATGTCGAGTGTCATGGAACCGGCACCCAGGCTGGCGATGCCACTGAAATACAGAGCGTTTTAGACACGTTTGCTCCTTCCACCTATCCTGGGCGGGGAGACAACCAACCTCTTTATCTGGGCTCAGCAAAGGCCAATATTGGTCACGGTGAAGCGGCATCTGGAGTATCAAGCCTGGCCAAGGTGTTGCTCATGCTAGAGAAGGGCTTTATTCCACCCCATTGTGGGATCAAAACAAAGATCAACCACAAGTTCCCAGCAAATCTGGAGCAGCGCAATGTTCGAATTGCAACGGAACCAGTACCTTGGGGTCGGAGCACCGATGTGTCAAAGCCGCGCAGGGTCTTTTTGAATAATTTCAGTGCTGCAGGAGGCAACTCAGCCCTGTTAGTCGAGGATGCACCTGTTCATGAAGAATCCAGCTCTGAAAGCGATGCGCGCACGACCCATTTGGTG